GTGAAACGAGCAGCAGAACCAAACATAATACCGTCTGGCCAGTTACCCCTGGCCAGAGCCCAGGGAGATACCCGCTTTCTTAGGTAGCTTCGTGAAACGGAGCCTACTATTCTAGCGGAAGCCCAACGCCATAGCGTTAGGCAGACTGGGTCTTTCCAAAGCGAAAAGACTCTGACTCCATCTGCTTGGTCATCAACTACTCTACCAGCAACCTGAGCACGCTATTTATCCGACATGTCTTTTCGTCCTTCTCGAGATTCATATGCGAGCTTAGCCAACAAAACAGCCCGGCAAAAGAGGTATCTGCGCAGTTAGCGTTCTCTGGGTTGCAGCGCAGAGGGGACAATACCAACGATGTCTGTCGTGAAGATCTTCCGATCGGTACGCAAAATCACGGTGCCGCCGCCTCCTTTCGTTCATCGTTCAGTATCTTCCCGTGATGTGCGTGCAGGATCTGCCCAAGAAGGATCAGAAGTTCGTGCGCGACGCCATCGTCGCGCTCGACGAGCAGCTGCGGCTCAACACCAAGGATGGACGTGTGGACCCCCGGGCAGATGAGTTCGCCGCTGCCATTCAGCGAGTGCTCGACAAGCGATTCCAGCCCTCGTTCCACGTGCTCGTCGGCTTCGGCACACAGCTGGGCTATGCACTCAAGTATCGGCCAGGCACTATGGGCCTATTCCGGCTGAATGAGACCACCGTGCTGGTCTACAAGAGCCCACGAGTAGAGATCCTGCCGAGTGGACGGGTGGCTGGTGCGCCGAGCGACCCGGCAGCGCCGCACAGCGAAGAATATGGCGCGTCTAGGACAGGTACACATACAAGGGAAGAAGGGACAGGAATGAGCCAAGAAGCGCCCAGCTGATGTGTTCGTATCGCAGATAGTGGTGCCACTCCTGCAGAGGACGACAGCAGAGAGGATGGATCTCCTGGCGGCAAGCGCATCAGAGTGGTGGAGGCCTCACCCGACCCAGATGACCAGGACAGCCCCGCCAGCTGTGCCGTCAAGCGGGCGCTCTCCATTGTCACTCAGCGCGTCAAGACTGAGGACACCAAGGACTTCCAGCTGCTTGCACAGGAGGTCAGGCGGCAGCTGACGGACCAGCTGGGCCCCATATGGCACGTCATGGTGGGGAGGGACTTCGTCACGTGCCGCCCCAAGGGGTGCCGGAGCTATCTGCTGCTGCAGTGGGGCAGGCATCGCGTGCAGTGCTACCAGCATGAGCAGGGGGCGTCGCAAGGGGGGCTGCTCGGGCTCATGATGAAGGGCGACATGTGGGGCTTTGTGACCTTCCTGGCCATGGTGCTCTTCTTTCTCGTGCTCACTTTTCGGAAGCAGCTGTGCGGTGTGAATGCGGTGGAGATCCCGAGCGACTTTGGCATCGTGGGCACCATCCTCACCGACATATATCGCACGTAAGGCTTGGGGACGGGAGATGGAGGGATGGAGGGAGGGGCACAGAGAGAGACGCACAAGCATTGACGCCCCTTTGCGCTGTGTTTGTGTGTTTGTGTGTGTGCGTGTGTGTTTCTGGGCAGTGTGTGTTCGGAGGCGGCGTCAGACGTGCTGCTGTTCGGTCTGTTCGTGCTCTTCGTCGCATCCATGGCCATGAAGTTCGTCAAGGCCAGAATGAAGAGGGAGTGATGCGCTGATGGCCGGCTTTTCGCTGAAATAAGGCATTGGTGCATATTTGTGCTGTGTGAGCGACAGCCGTACCCAGTTGCGGGAATCACACACACCAGTTGCGGGAATCACAAACCGCTGATCAAGCAGAGGGGCGAACGACAATTGTGACAGGCGGTGGTTGGTGGGGGTAGCTGTCTGAATGTGTTTTAGTTTGGCCGCCAGGGGCAGCACGGAGGGTGGGGAGCTTTCTGCCATGGCAATCCAATCTGCTCAGCGATGCGTGGCTATGTAAATGGACCGTACAAATGCCTACCACACTTCATCGTGGTACCATGCCACATGGGAGCATTTCAGCGTATCTGTGAAGACAGAGTCCATCCGTCGATCACCAATGTACGCACAGGGAGGGCAGCCATCGCTCAGCCATGAAAGTACGCACACTTCGACAGGCGGAGGGGGGCGGGGACGCAGCGGCATCCAACACCTATGCGTCAATCGAAACCTGCCTGCCTGCCTGCCTGCCTCTCGTCTGGTCCGCATGTGTGGTTGCTCATTGCCAAAGAAAGAGTGTTGGCTGTCAGGAAATAGAAAGAGGGAGTCCGATGCCCATACAAACAAAATCACCTACGCTAGTATACATGCTCCATACAAAGAAGCAACCCCAACTGATCCAACCCTACCCCTGCGTCGCTCTCCAGCATAGGGTAGGCCGCCCACTGCGCCGCATTCGGTGCCAGCAGAGAGACAAACGTCCATGTGCCTGTGAGGCAGCCCTTCCCATTCTCACCTTGAAGTCACTGTCCATTGCACGCAACCGCTTCACGCACCGATAAAGCTGTTCATGGGGCTCTTGAAGGTCTGTGCTGTGACTGTGTTGCTCTTGGTCGCCTCCCGACCAGAGTGAATCTGCCACACAAAGTGAACGCAGACAGGCGGCCGCTGCTTGTACCCATTCACGCGCAGATGTGTCTCTACCTGGTCGTTGAACAACGAGGACGCCCCTGCCGACGGACTGGCTCTGGTCTGTTCGCCACGAAAAGGGAGTTGTCGAAGTTGACCTCTCCGTCAGCTCAAACTGAATGGGCGACCTTATCGGCCACCGTGATGACAACTTCCGTGACATTTTCTCGGTCGACTCCTGCCTTCACAGCTTGTAGATGACGAGAATGGAGTTGTCGTTGATCCACTGAGAGCCCAGCTGGGCGGCGCGCCACCCACATTGGCAAACTCTAGCGCCTGAGGCGCGGCCGCTATCACGATGTGCTTCCCATAGGACCCAGCCTGCCAAATCTCCCTCACCTGCAGTGACCCCTTGCGAAGGAGGCTGTGTCCAGCTGTTCGAGAGGAGGAAAACGGAGAAGGAAGGGTCGAGGGTCTGGGTTTCAGGGTTCGTTCGGCTCGCATTTCCGGAGGTTGGCGCTGAATGCAGCCCAGATGCTTGAGCAGCCGTGGTTGCGGTGGTTTAGCTTGGTGGTAGAAAACACTGCAACTTTCCCAAATCCTGAAACACGGTCAGCTGGATACTCGGGATGTCATCTACCTCCCTCTCCTCTCCTTTCTCCCGCGCACGATCTCCATGAATGCAGGTAGTTACCCTATCGCAACAACAACATGGATAGACAATGGATGAGGAGCGAGAAATGCCAGCGTGAATGGCGCAGGGGTCGGTCAGTGTGGGGTACGTGGTGGTTATCTGGGTTGCTGCTGCTGCTGATCCTGCCCGGGAGCAATGCATGGTCGGCGGCAACCACTGCTGGCCATTTGCAGTGGGCGCAAGTGACTTCGAGGTCTCCTCTGTGTGTGTTATTTCCATCAGGATGTTGGTATCGAAGGAGGGAGAGATCACGCTCCTTGGGCCTGTCGATATCAGTAAGCACACGCTACACGTCCTCATGCGTCGTCCTCCTCTGGGTGTATGTGTGTCTGAACCATTCATTCCAGACCCATCGTACACCACATCACGGCTGTCCTTCAAGAACGCCGGCGTACGTCAGTGGGACCTATATAACGATGCCACCAATCGTTTCAGGATCCGCAATACGGATCAAATCGACTACCTTACGCTATCTACTGCCGCCCTGTCCATTCTCAACGCAGCAGAGCTCGGCAGCACGCTGTGGGTGGAAAAGATGGCTACTATGGGTTCTGAGCTGTCCGTCAGGATGAGGACAGACTTGGGATCGACACTGTCGCTGCACAACTATGCGGAGCTGGGCAGCAGCTTGTCGGTGCGATCTTACACTCGCCTGGGTTCCACATTGTCGGTCAGAGGTCGGTCGGTGTTTCATGCTGCCGTCTCCCTCGTCGATTCTGCGTTGGTCGGGAGCTCTATGTCTGTCAAGGAGTTTGTGCGCCTCGGCCGAAGTCTTTCCGTGTTCGACGTCGCGCAGATAGGGCGAACTCTTTCGGTGCTTGATATGACAACTATTGGCTCTTCCCTCTCTGTCCAGTCATTTTCTCGCCTGGGCAGCAGCCTGTCGGTCTACGGAACGGTCCGGTTTGGGTCTTCTTTATCAACGCTGGACTTCGCGCTTCTCGGTAGCTCCCTATCTCTGCGCGGGTCCGCACAATTCGGGTCGTCTCTCTCCATCCATGGCTCCACTACGGTGGAAGGAGCAATGTCGATTCATGACTTTACTCTGCTGGGCAATTCACTGTCTGTGATGGAGTACGCTTACCTCGGCAACGTCCTGTCTGTCTATAACCGAGCCGATATCGGCAGCAGTTTGTCGGTGACCAGCTTTCTCGACGTCGGCAGCAGCCTCAGTGTGGCTTCTTTCAGTCGGCTGGGGTCCTCCTTGAGCGTTTACGGAATGGCTCGGTTGGCGTCTTCGTTGTCGGTGCTTGATTTTCTCTTGTTGGGAAGCAGCCTTAGCGTGAGAGAATTTGCCCGACTGGGAAGCAGTCTATCACTCAGAAGCTTTGCGCAACTGGGGAGCAGCTTAAGTGTCGTTTCCTTTACGAGACTCGGCTCATCCATGTCCGTCTTCGGCCTGATGAGACTTGGATCGGCGCTCTCTGTCCTAGACGACATTAATATCGGAAGTTCGCTCAGCCTGCGATCGTTTGGGCGACTCGGTTCCACCTTGTCAGTTTATGGCATCGCTAGACTGGGCAGCGCTCTGTCAGTGCTCGACAACGTAGCACTGGGCAGCAGTATAAGTGTTCGCTCATTTGGAAGGCTTGGTTCGTCCTTGTCAGTTTACGGCATCGCTAGAATGGGAAGCAGTCTATCAGTCCTCGACAACGTCACTTTAGGTTCTTCTCTCAGTTTGAGGTCCTTTGTGGACTTCGGATCATCTCTCAGTCTTCAGTCTTTCGGGCGTCTCGGGTCTTCGTTGTCGGTTTTTGGCATTGCAAAGCTCGGAAGCGCTCTTTCGGTTCTCGACTATGTGGGGCTGGGGAGCAGTTTGAGCGTACGGAGTTTCGTTCAGCTGGGGAGTTCGCTATCACTGAGATCATTTGCGCGTTTTGGAAGTGGGCTGTCTATCTATGGGTATTCAGCAATGAAAGGCATGCTGTCTATCCAAACGTACACTGGCAAGACAGTTATGTATACCAAGGATGGAGCAGCTTATGGAGGCAGGCTTATTGGCAACTGGATTCTCGATGAGGTCTTCCCTTTCAGTCTTTCTGTGGCGTCGTACACTATAATTGGAAGCTCCCTGTCATTGCGAAACTTTGCAAGACTCGGTGCAGACCTTTCTGTCTGGGGTGTGGCGCGTTTGTCCTCAACTTTAAGCGTCTTGGACAACGTAGCACTGGGGAGCAGTTTGAGCGTGCGGAGCTTCGTGGAGCTGGGGAGTTCGCTATCACTGAGATCGTTTGCAAGAATGGGTGACACTTTGTTTGTGTTCGGCTTGGCCCGTCTCGCCAGCACCCTGTCCGTATTGGACTCCGTGGAGCTGGGAAGTTCGCTATCACTGAGATCCTTCGCGAGAATGGGTGACACTTTGTCGGTGTTCGGCTTGGCCCGTCTCGCCAGCACCCTGTCCGTATTGGACTCCGTGGAGCTGGGAAGCTCGCTATCACTGAGATCGTTCGCGAGAATGGGTGACACGTTGTCGGTGTTCGGCTTGGCCCGTCTCGCCAGCAGCCTTTCCGTATTGGACTCCGTGGAGCTGGGGAGCTCGCTATCACTGAGATCGTTCGCGAGAATGGGTGACACGTTGTCGGTGTTCGGCTTGGCCCGTCTCGCCAGCAGCCTTTCCGTATTGGACTCCGTGGAGCTGGGAAGCTCGCTATCACTGAGATCGTTCGCGAGAATGGGTGACACGTTGTCGGTGTTCGGCTTGGCCCGTCTCGCCAGCACCCTGTCCGTATTAGACTACGTGTCTTTGGGCAGTTCTTTATCTGTCCGTCAGTTTGCATATCTTGGCAGCACACTGTCTGTTGAAGACTCATCGACATTCAACAATGTTGAAATCCGCGGTACTTTGAATGTCGTCAGTGGAGCGACCCTTAATCTACAGGCTGGTTCGACATTCATACTGGATTCTAGCAGTCCGGGGGCGGTCACAATGGATACAACTGCTTGCAGTGTTATCCACGCCAGCGGTTGCAATAGTTCATCAGACAGACGACTGAAGAAGGCTATTCAGTCAGTGGAAGTTTATCTTTCGTCGGCTTCCCGTTCTGGGAGGCAGCAATTCTCGAGAAGCAAACGGAACCTTTCAGTTGTCTCGTCGGGGGATCGTGACAGCGTCGAGCATCTTATCGACAGGTTGCACCCCGTCAAGTTCGAATGGAAACAGGTACACATACGCCTCGTCAAGAAGCATCACAAATGGTCTATGCTGTGCAGACTCAAGAAGGCATCAAGGGATCGAATAGAGTGCACTTCGGCCTCATAGCGCAAGTCAGCATGCTCTTGACCCAATATCCATTCGCCACTTTGCTCTGTCTTCAGGATGTGGCAACTTTGTTGCCTGAAGTTGTCTCAAAGGAACCCAGGACGGGCACATTGAGGATTCGCTACATGGTGTGTGTACACTCGACAAACGAGAAATCACATAAGGATCGATACAATATGTTGCTGCTCGTAACCATCAGGACTTGATTTCAATTCTTTTGGAGAGTGCCAAGCGGCTTAATCGTCGTCTCCGGGTATCTGCATTGCAGCAATGAAAAGGCAATCTTCATTTGTTTCCTTACTTGTCGCGGGTCGCAGGTAATGGAGCGACAAGTTTCCAGCCTGCACTCCCCCGTGACCGCCCAATATGCTAATACCACAACGACTCCACGACCACCTGATGGCCCGATCGATACAGCAGTCAACCACCTCAACGCGCCTATGGACGCCCTCTCCTCTTTTTCTCCAAGCAAGCTTTTGTCTTGCCTCACAACTAACAGCACCCATGTGTCTCGGCGTCATCCATTAATACTTTCAGTTGAGCGTCGTCTCAAGAGAACAGCAGTACATCTAAGGCATGTCTTCCAGAGGGAGGTGAGATATCTCTTGGCTGCTGTGAAGGCAAGTAGGTACCGCAAGATTGTCCACTCTGGCCTTCTTCATCGCATCCATGCTTGGGAGAAGCGGACTCCAAGTCTTCAACAGTTAGAACGACCGGCAACAACACCTTTGGGTCCCGGAAGACGTAGACGGAGCTCGTTCGATGGCAGGTGGTGGTGGCCATGGAGAATATCGCAGCCCCCAAGCGTGGTTATGCTTAGGCGATATGCGAGTGAGAGAACGGTTGAGAGGAGAGAGGTCGACACTGTCAAGTCGCTGAGACGCAGGATGGACGACGACATCGTAAGGCGGCATAGTGAAGAGATTCGGCAGCTCAAGAAAGAGACAACGCGTCAGAATGAAGAGGTCACGTCACTGAAGGAACAGATCAGGCGACAGGAAGAAGAGACTAGGTTGCTCAAAGAGCAGCTGAAATCTCTTCTAACCTGGCAAGCCTCCTCTTTGCGCGCGCCAGCGCACGATGATTATACACGTGAGGAGGCACCACGATGATGTGGCGAGACAGCCTCTGCTTGTCGTCATATACTATATAATCGGTGTGTATGCTGTACAGTCATTATCATGCCTTTCGACAATTGCAATTGTGTGATGCAATTGAATTTGTACAGTCAACTTCGTACCGTATTTGTACGGGGCAGTTGTGTATGTGGGTCAGCTGGGCTGAATCACTCTGTACACAGTCAAAAATGGGTTAGATAACCTGGTCACCTCCCAAAGAGACTCAAATCACACCACCAGGGCGGAACAAGTGCAAAACCAGACAGGGCCCCCAACGGAAAAACCCGCTGCCCCATGCACTAAACCGGGCCTTTGCAATTGGAGAAGTGGGTTTTGGAGGCAGAAAACTGAGTTTCGGCTGTGTATGAGTTCGACTACAGATGTGTATGAATTCGACTTCAAACTCTGAAGGATCTGTTTTAATGCGTGTGTTGACTGTTTTGCTCTGGTCTGTGAGTCCCACCAGAGCAAGACAGTCACATCAGCATGCATATATACACCCAAGAAACCCCCCGCTAGGCAGAAAATAAAACAGTAAGTATCCACTTCCCCTCCTTCCCCCTTGGCCTTTGCTGAATACATCAATGTCATTCGCTGTCCCACCTTGACTCATGCACCGGCTCGCCTTGGCTATCGAACTCAGATACCCTCCCCGTCCGGATTGATCGATACAACAAGGTAGAAAGGGGCGACGAGCCCACCCATCCATTTACATCCGCACTTTGTACATGGCGAGACTGGTCGCCCCTTACGCGGAGGCAAGGCAGATGTTGGTTGTCCAGCACAAACGTCAAAGGCGAGTAGCCACATTCGGGCGTCGAGCAGATCGTCGAATCAGCATCATCTGCAGGGCAACGCAGATCTCGCCTCCAACACCTTTGCAAGCTCCTAACACACGCACGCGAGGGACCGAGGAGAACAGAAGGACGCCCAATGAATGCGTGAAGCGGACGTCTCTTTCCCTGTGGGGCCGCTCTTGAGGTCCGAGGTGAGGCCCGAGATGGTGATGTTGCGCTTCTTCACCATCAGCCGACACGCATTCACACACTCTCACCTGAATGAACACCACACACACACACACAGAAGCATTGCACACATTTACCCCGCCTATGCATTTAGGGGCGGTCAATAGGCGCCACTCTCAAGGTCTTACCTGCGCATACTCACTTCTGCACGCGCTCTGCATGTATGCACTTGGTGCTGTTACACAGAGTGCAGACGAATCGCCAATCCCGCGGCAGCTGTTTTCGGAGCTGCCTCTCTTCACTTCCTCACCCAGATCTGACGAATCGCCAGGCACACAAGCACCCTCAAGCTTTTATTGCTTGTGCAGATCGTCGATCGGCAGATCTGCGAGCTTTTTCCAAAGGAAGGCATTTCCTCCCCCTCTCCCCCCCCGACTGAACAAGGCGTGAAGCAGCGGACCATGTGTTTTCAAAGAATGCTCAGCACTCTTGTCACCCTCATGCACCTCACCATCACCATCTCGCTATCAACACGCCATCTATCATCCGCCCTGCGGCCCTCAGTGGCAGATCGGCACCTGCCTGCATTCCAGCTGTCGGCCACTGACGCTCTGCAGATCTTCGGTCGTCTGGCTGGGGACTTTCGTGGCGAGCGGGGGATCTTTTGTTCGCACATCACGCCGGAGGGGGAGGTCCTATTCCAGGGCAAGGAGAGGGTCACTATGGCCGAATTCCGGGTCAGAAAGGACGCAGGAAGGAAGGGGTCGATGTGTGTCCTCACATCATCATGTGTCTGTGCCTGTGTGCGCTCAGGACCGGCTTGCCAAGCTGCCATTTACATGGTGCGTGGGATGGGAGGGCACGCCACTGGGGGCGAGAGGAATGCACTCGCGTGCGTATGAAATATATGTGCATGTGCCGTGGTGTGTGGCGGTTCTGAATGTCAGGCCCGCCCTTTCTGACGGTGAGGCGGCCGAGGCCGACACTTTCATGCGCCGCCTGCTCAAGGTCGGTATCGACCCAAAGTTCGACTATATCATCTCGGAGGAAAACAGACGGTCGACCAATGAAAGACTCAGGTGGGCAGGCAAGCAATGACAAGGACAGGACGCACTCAGCAGGTGCACACAGATGCTTGCCTACCTGCTGCCTGCCCTGCCCACTTGTTGCTCAGGTCTGGTCGCGTGAAGCGTTCGAATGCGTTGATGGCTCTGCTTGACCCTAACAAGCGCACGGATGAGGAGCGTGTGGAGCGTGCTATTCAGCGAGTCAACGAGTTTATGAGCCTCGACCCGCCAAACCCATATGCCGTCTACGAAGGCAGGACTGAGAAAGGAAAGACAACCATCTGCATCAGTGTGCTCGTCTGATGTGTGCAGTGTTCGGTCGCTTTGCTGGAATGGACAAGGCACAGTACTTGCACAAGTGAGCAGCGCACCACAAGACACATCCGTCCATCCATCCATCCACCCATCGTTTCCCTATCTGTTCGGACGTGACAACCAGGAACCAGTTCGGACGTGTCGTTGAAGCTTGGGGCAGCGGTGAGGAAGGCCACTCACACACTGCATTCACGCAGTGACATCCCCCATTCATTTGTTTCCTTCTCTCGCCTTTCAGAGGCCGACGGTCTAGACTTCCCCAGCTTCCTGGTCTTCTGCGGCGTGCAGGCGGGCGTGGGCAGCGGAGGCAAACTCGTGGGCGCCACACAGAGAGCAAAAGACGCCGGCGAAGATCCACTCAGGTAGGAACCATCGGCAATGATCCACCCGCAATCCTGCCGACGAACACTCCCTGTGTGGTTTGGCAGCGATCTGTCTTTGACTGAGATCGAGCAGTTCCGCGCCAAGCTGATGAAGGGGCCTGGGCCTGATGGGGCGCAGGCACTTGAAGACGAGGACGCTTCGGTGTCCGGTGAGGACAGAGCCCAAAAGCTGGCCGCTGTGCTCAACAGCCCAGCGCCTGAGCTCGGACCCAGCCAAGAGGCAAGCAGCTGCTTGCCTGAGACCTAATGTGAACTTTCTTTCTGCATACACGCCATGCCGAGCTCTCCTTGTCTTCTGTTGTGTGTGTGTGACAGGTGTCATGGCTGGACACGCGGTGGCGCGAGCAGTTCAATGGTGAGCAGCTGGCGGACCTGATAGTGCAGAAGTACGGCGTGCCGTACGTCATCCACCCCAACCGACTTGACTGGATGGGAGGGCGGCGAAAGATGTTCTACCAGATCACGTGGAGATACCTGGGCGAGCCGGGATTTGAAATGACCAAGGTGAGCTGAGCGGGACTCAGACCCGTGTGCGGCTTCGCGTGGGTGTATGGTCGTGTCCGTACGTTTGTGTGTGCAATGCAGGATCAGTATTTGGATCTGATGGAGACATTGGCGTATCTGTTGGTGCGATGGAACCGAGTCGACCACTTCAGAAACCAAGTGGCAAAGTCAGCACGCACCACCAACACCCACACCCACTCTCACACACACGTGTGCAGTGCATACGCAAACAAATGATTGATGCGTTGTGTCCACACGTGTGTTGTGTTGTGTCTGGTGGTGTGCAGGACCCGTAAGGTGCCTGATGCGTACTTCGGTCGTGCGGTGCCTATTGCTCTGGATGTGCCAGAAGAGGAGGTGTCGGTCGCACTGCAGGAAATCGACAGGCTACAGGAGCTATTCGGCCTGTGAACGAACGGGAGGACGTCTGTCTCTTGGCATTTTTCCGACGCTGGCTGCATGGGCAGTTTTGCATTGCACAGAGTGCCTGCCTGCGATGTCTGTCTGATTTATGGAAGACTTGCCTGCCTACCGTGCATCATACATATCATGCATTGCATCGGGCTGCGTGGCCACCGTGGGTTTTCTTTCCCTCTCTGTGTGTGTGTGTGTGTATGTTGTGTGTGATCCGGGGGGGGGTGCGAGCTGCTGTACATAACATACCAACTAGACAGACAGACCCGTAGTAGGGGAGGGAGGGAGGTGGCGACTTTCGATGCGCCTGCAAATGCAGCATTGTCACCTCCCTCCTTTGCCTGCCTCACTTGGCCACCCACTTGATGCGATGCCTACGTGCGTCACGGTTTGGTGCAGGCGTGTAGATTAAGCAAGCTGAGAACCAACCGGAGTTTGTGGTGAGCAAGTAACTTACAGCTGGTCAGCTGAGCTGCATACATTACACGGCTGGGCTGCCACGCCACGCCACCCTGTCTACTTCCTTCGTGTGTGCGTCCGTGCGTGTACAGAGAGGTGTGAATGCGTGCGTGTCTCCTGCTGGCTTCTCGGACACTTCCACTGCCACTCAATGATCGACTGATTTCTGATGTCTCACTTTATCCGACACACCACATATCATATCACGCACCTCTGTCCCATGTCACGACGCCTTAAGTCTTCCTGCCTGTTCTCCCCCCGTTGTCACTCGGGCACGAGTATCTTCCTCACTTCGAGCGTCTTGGCTTCTGTCGTGCTGTCTGCTATTCACTTCCTGGCGTGTCGATTGGTCCCGCCCCGCGATGTTGATGAGATGACTGACGCGCTGGCGGCACTCGTGGCAGCGGTTGTTGACCAGGCGGGCCGCGCAAAGCCTGCAGGAGCGAGAGGCCCTCAGAAATGCAGGCACACATCTTTCACGACACACCTGCAGTAGAGATGGCCGCAAGACAGAACAACTTGCACTGGACAGTCACAGCACACTGGGCATGTCTCGAGCGTCGACAGGGGCGGCCCCTCGCTGAGACGCCGAGCGTACTCATCCCTCTCGGCCGTCACTCGACCCAAAGCCCGCACGAGGGTCTCGAAGTACCTTCGTTCCATAACGACATCACTCCCGGACAGTGCCGGTGTCTCCAGCTCCAAGTGCACCTCAGGTGGGGGAAAGTGACTGACTGGCGTCGGGGCTTGCGTTGGGGCTTCAGATGCGGGGGTCGGCCGGCTGCTGCTGGTGCTTGTTGCGGGCTGCGGTGGCCGGTCTGGTTGTATCTCCCCCCTGATCTGGTACGTCATGGGGGGGTGGCTGGCAACGAGCGCTCGCACTTGTTCATGTGACAGAGCTCCCGAAGGCAGGACGTACGATGGGCCAGAGGGGCGCTGAGGGGGACCACCGGAGGAACTCGACATGTGGAGGTGTGGAGGCGATCCACATGACGTTGGAATTCAACGGCAGGAGAGCTGATGGATTGTATGCATTAAAACATGAACGTGACATGCAGTGCCGCATCGCATCCGTCATGTCATGCACACACGCACAGCACATGGCATGGCATGAAGAGCAAATAAACACGAAATACACACCTACATAGACACATAGAAGCGAAACTCATGTCCGTACGCATCATCACATCGTTGTTCTGCCTGCTGGATGGGCACCGCACCGTGCTCAGACGCACGGAAATCAAATGCAGGTAGGCACCCATCCATCTGCGGCCTGTACTGGGCCGGCCAGAGACGAGCACAGCACAGCACCCATCCCATCCATCCCATTTCTGTCTGCATCCATCGTCAGTCACTATACAATCGTCAATGCGTACCTGTGCTGTGCGTGGGTATGGATGGTATGTATGCACACATATTCGTGTCTGCCCTGCCCAGGGATGCCCGTCTCTCCGTCAAAAGAAGCCCCCAGCCAGCTACCCAGCCAGCTACGGAACAATCAATTCACCAAAAACGAGTATTTATTCATTGTCCCGTCCCAACCAATCAATCTGCAGATAGTTCCCCCCTCCCGCTACAGGTGGGCTGGGCGCCTGTCTGTGTGTCCATTCATGTGTCTACATATCTACAGTTCGTCTTTCTCGGTGCTCTCGGGCGCGTCGAATGGCAGGTCCATGCCGTACTCGTGTGGATACCGCAAGAGCTCCCCGTAGTCGGTGAGCTTCGACTGCACCACACTCTCAAGCTTCTCCAGCATAGTTGCCAGCGTCAAGGACGCGTCTGCACATAACATACACGCACACATACATACATACATACATACATACAAGGGGAAATAAATGGATGCAATGCAGCGCATAGGTTAGATGGGTGGTTGTGTGTCGTGCCGGTGGGTGGGCGGATGGGTCCCGGGGTGGGGGATTCTGACCTTCATCTAGTCCGGCGTCAGCGAGCATGTCGGTGACGTCCCTCTCGTGGTCGCCCTCTGAGTGCTGGACGATGATGGCCTCGATTTCCTTTTCGTCGATGACGCCGTCCTTGTTGGCGTCATAGCTATCGAACTCCTTCTTCATGCTCTCCTCGTCCTCCTCAGACGCTGACAACGACACTCATGGGCATGCCTGATCTGCTTTACATCTGCCTCCATTTGTCTGGTGCATCTGTTAACTCACCCTCCTGCCCCTTGAACTCGGCGAAGCTGATCTGCCTGTTGCCATCCGTGTCCTGCTGCTGAAGAAGCACAGCACAACCACATCAGCAGCAGAGGCAATCAGCCGTCGATGCACATCGCATGCCGTTGGCCTCGCCTCTTTTCTCAGCTCACCTTGAGTATTTCGTCTATTTCGACCTTCATGAGAGCTGGATCTTCGCCCACATGCAGCAGCTTCTTGAACTCCTCAACCGTCAGCTTGCCGTCTGGATATACACACGACACATGCACGACACGAACAAGAGAGAGGTGCATGAGTGTGTTGAAAGCAAGACCGCTATTCTGCCACTCACCGCCGTCCTTGTCTACCGTCTTGAACCGAAGCTGCTCTCACACACCAACACCGACGCATCGATCGATCAGTGGCCTGCCTGCATGATCCCCGTTTCTTGCTCACTCACCGCAATATCCTCCTTGCCCTCTGCCGCCGCCGCCTCATCCTCGCCGAAGTATGCATCGTGCAATTCGCTGAGGTCGACAAATCCGCTCTTGTCCTTGTCGATGGCATCGAACTCGAGGTTGCTCTGCCGCATCTGCACCTGTGGGTGGAGCCTCTTGAGCCACTCGCTCATCTCCTTCTTGGTCAGCTTGCCGTCGCCGTCCTTGTCCAGCACCGGGAACAGCTTGCTCATCCGCTCCTCTATCTCAGGGCGCGCCAAGCCCAGCGAGTCCTCCAGCCCCTCGGTCTCGTCCATCATCTCGTCCGCCATCTCGTCGTAGCCGAAGTCACCCTCGGCCTCCTCGCCGAACGTGATGTCGTCCTCATCCTCCTGAGCCACCGACGCAGCCACCAGGAAGGCACCGAAGATCAGCAGTGATAATCTCATTTCTCCTTCAGCAAATGCTATAGTCCCAAACAGCTGCAGTCTGTCGGAGATGCTGCACGGCTGTGGGGGGGGAGTGTGGGATCGTCTTGCGAGCTTGGATCTGCAGAAACAATGAACAGCAAGATCCACGACTTCGCCAGCATCTCCGTGTCCTTGTTTGTGTTGTGGGATGGTTGATCTGTACAAACAAGCTGAGGTGTCCCTTCGCGAGGCCGTCCTTGGTCAGGACTGGAGCCGTGTGAGAGAGTGGAGGCCCTCAGTTGTGGATGCGCGGGGCGAAATTGGCAGCATGGATGAATTAGTTGACTCGAGTGCAGAGGGGCCGCCTGCAATGACAGAAAGGCAACGACGGGAGGCATACCGACTGAAGACGCTTCCAGGTGGGAAACATGGGAGGGGACGCAGGGCAGGGACGAAGGAGAGCTGAGATCTGGACGGACGGTGATGAATCAATCAATCGTTTTGGTGTGTGTATTCACTGATTGACTGTGAAGGTTGTGTGTTTCTGCCGGCCTGGCTGAGTGAGGATGAGCAGCTTCTTCTGGCCCACGAGTGCGTCACATCCTACATTGAGGCGAGCAACCAAGCCAGCGCACGAGCAGCCAGTGAGTGATTTATAAAGCAGCCAGTACTGCCTATTTGCTGTTTGTGTACTGTAATCACAGCCCCCACACAGGACCAATCTCACCGGGTTCGAGGAGGCGGCACGGGAATTCTGGCGTACGTACGCACACTCTCAGCTATCTGCCGGGTGTAAATAGAGGTCTGCGCATCTGCTGCTGTCTGTTCGGCTTTCAGCGTCAAATGAGCCAATGTTCACCAGGCTGCGATGGGCCACCCTGGTTGGTGAGAGGAACGCAAACAAACCTATCTGAGGACATGATAGGTGAATGGTGTCTGTCTGTCTCTGTCTTAGGGCTACCAATACAAGTGAGTGTCTGCGATGCGGCACCTACCTCCCTCCCCGTCTATCCCCTCCCATCATCATTCATCATGCCCTCCCTCTCCATTCCATTCGTTCGTTGCTTCGCCCGTCCATCAGCTGGACTACCCGCCAATACGACGACCGCCTGCCCTTCCCATATGGGCTCACGTGTCTCTGTCAGGAGATCATGACAGAGCTATCGCGCCAGTGTCCGCTGCTGGCTCAAGAGCTGCACCTGACCGGCGACTACACACCGCAGGTCAGATCAGATCTATTGGGTCTCTGGGACAAAGGACCAGAGAGCGTCACCTCACCCGACGGTCAAACGAATGCACACAGCTATCTTATCATTCATGTCATGTAGGCGGCCATAGTGAATCTCTACCGGCGGACCGACCGACTGAGAGGTGGGGAAGCACACCTCGCCAGTTGGTGACCGATCGATCGATCGATGCGGAAATATGCGGTGCGCGTGTGGCTGGCAGGGCACCAGGATGATGCCGAGACCGACACCACTTCGCCGCTCGTGTCCATTAGGTAGGTACTTCTCGCCTCATGGTTACTCACAGTGTCCACACACGTGTCCCGTCCCCTGCCTGCGTCCCCTGCCTGCGTCCCCTGCCTGCTTTGTTCGCAGTTTGGGTTTGCCTGGCCTCTTCCTCGTTGGTGGCGACACAAGACAGTGAGTGAGCTGGCGGCTGAGGGAGGCAGGGAGGCAGTCAGAACAGAGCGACACCAATATGTGTGTGCGCTGCGCTATTCAGGCTGTCTCCCCAGCCCGTGGTGCTTCGCGGAGGCGACGTACTGCTGCTGGCCAGCACAGCCAGGAAGTCTTTCCACGGTACGCAGGCAGGGTGGTGGGACGGCACACACACCCTTGCCAAGAAGTATGCTCGGTTCTTTCTGTTTTCCTCAGGCATAGCGGCCATTATGGAGCCACAACCTGATGCCGACACACATGGCGGGCCAGACGGAGGGGAGCCAGCCCCGCCAACAGCGGCGGGTGCCGGTGCCGGTGCTGGCAGGAGGTGGCAGGAATCGACTGCAGTGGGGTCGTTGGAGGGTTTGAGTGGTGATGAGCGTGTGAGGCTGATGGACCTGCTGGCCAAGACACGTATCAATCTGAGCATCAGACAGGTCAACCAGGGGGGCAGAGTGACGTGACCGTTCTGGGTGAGGGATGCGACAGGTCGCCTAGCTCTGGTGGTCGATGCAATCAATCATGTGGTGCTGATGGTTTCTTGTCAGTGACTCTCGTGCATTTCCTTGACAGCAGATTCCGTGTGTCCATGTGTGCATGCATCAGTAATCACACTCCTACGCAATCAGTCCGATGCCCACACACATCCACACAACACACGCACACACACCCGTGACAGTCAGCCGATCCTCACCACTCAGAAAAGGCAGTCTGCCGACTGGCCGTAGTAGACCATCAGCCAGACCCCCACATGCATACACAGACACACACATCTCACAGCAGGCAGGCTTTGATGGACAGCGAGGCAGGAGTGCTGTCCACGCACGATGGCGAATTAGGAGAGGGGAGGGGGCATGCAGACATGAAGACACGGGGACATGGCCACATCATGCACATGTCATGGTATCCATTCCATACGCCAGCCGGCCGACCAACACAACAACTCAGCAAGCCAGCCGATGTGGCTACCTACCGGCTGCAGCCATGCACCTGAACTGCACACAGACCGCAGCGCTCTGAGTCAGTCGGCGGGGCGAGAGCGGCAGAACTTCCCCACCCCCCACAAGCCAATGAGTGAGGCCCACGCGCAGCTCAGCTGGTGGGCTGCTCATTTCGGCCATACACAAACACGACAGACAGCCACAGTCACACAGGCAGCGTAGCCCATCACATAGCCACCCAGCCAGAGCAACCACGCACTCAATCCATCCATCCATCCATGTGCAATACTCTGACGCATCCATCGGTTCAACCCCCGCTCAGCTGCCGTATGGCCTCTCTCCCACCCGCCCCTCTGCAATGCAATGCACCGTCTCCCTCTCCAGTCTGTGTGTGTGTGTTGTGTGTTATCTAAGATCCTCTGTCCTTGTTGCCCGTGTGGGCACTCCACAGCCCCTCTCGGCCCAGCAACTCCGAGTACTCGTCGCTACCTGATCAACGCACACACACAGACACCCAATCATACAGACAGACGAGTGATGCAGATCGACAGGAGCCAGGGGATCTGTGCTGTGTTGTGTTGCTTACCTCCGCTGGCCTCTTGGCCGTCGTTGGGATGCATATCGTCGTCATCGTCACCGTCATCGCCACCATCAACGTCTCCATCTGTAGCATCCATCCATCCATCCATCCATGTGTGTGTGTGTGAGTGTATGTCCTGCTCTCTCCCCACCGTCATCGTCGTCACCGTCGTCACCCTCAGCCTCACTCTCGCCACCGCCGTCCTCATCTACACCACACAGACAGAGAGGGCCCATCCATCCATCCATCCATCCATTCTCATGTGTGTGTCCCTTCCTCCATCCACCAATGTGCCTCCCTGCCTCTGTGCGTACCATCGTCGCTGTCATCCACCTCCCACTCTGATGGCTCGTCTTGCACTACTTGGCCGTCGAAGACGACTTCAAGTCCTCGCCCCAGCGCCTCACTGCCCAGCTGAGTCGTCTGGCGGAAGCGGTCCTTAAAGGCACCGCTCGCACACACAGGTGCCTCGGTCGTGAAAACAAAAACCAACACTGCAGACAGTCAGACAGACGACACTGATGACATTTGACCAGCAGAGCTGCCTGTCTGTCGGCCTGACTGTCTGTCACCTGATCTGTCGGCAACATCGCCAAGACGAATCCCCGCGACGAAGTTGTGGCTGCTATCGGTCAGCACCAGCTCCAGCACCCGCGCACCACTGTAGCTGAATGTGGTGGTGCATCCGGCCACCGGTGTGTGGGGCGACTGGGTGAGGAGGTCATCCAGACGGCCGCCACCAACACGCTTGAACCACACACACACACACACACACAATCAGACACGCACCCCTCTCGCCACTGGTTCCATTCGTGTGGTACCTGTTGAGGTGTATCGATGTGCGATTGATCGGGTGAGTCCAGCAGAAGTGGTCGTAGATCATGCCCTTGGCGAACGACGACACCGACGACACCGACGCATCGGTGATCCCGAAACTCGACACCCATCTGCGGCCGTTGTAGTAGATGCCGCTACGCACTGGTGGGTCATGCTGCTGTCGGTGCCGCTGATACAGATGGTGGGCAGCGAGGGGCGGGTTGACGTCCAGCCGGAAGCCGGGCTCGTCCTTGATGGCCCGCACCTCACCGTTGGCACGGCGGAGGAAACGCAGGCAGCTGCCGTCCCTGAACCGCACATGGCGGCCGACCACCCTGAGCTGCGCCAACACACGGGGAAGCGACATGTACGCCTACACGACACACACACACACACACACACAGAGAGAGAGAGAGAGAGAGAGAGAGAGGATGAGGCCTCTCCGCCTTCTCTTCGCCCCCCCTCTGTGTGTGTGCCTTACCGTCTTGCTCCAGTGTTTGTTGATGTCGTCTGCCGTGAGGCTGAGAGGCAGCGTGCAGCAGTCGCACTGGCTGGCCAGCTGCAGCACCTCAGCGGCCTCGTCCCACCTCTGCTCTTCCACCATCCAGATGGCCGCCAGCAGCTCACGCGGTTCAGACACCGTCTGGGCGTCGAAGGTCAGCACCGCGTCTAGCTGGTTGCCGTCAGCGAGGCGAATGCGATGCAGTGAGCGGTTGAGTCGGCTGCGGAGGACCTGGGCGGGGAAGTCGACCTTGCTGAAGAACAGGGCCGACCTCCTGATGTTGCCGAGGTCCTTCAGGGTGTGCAGGCCATCGCGCTCGTCCCGATAGACGACGTCGAGCACCTGGCCGTTGAGGGCGGGCGATACCTCGTCGGTGCTCTTGCTGTTGACCGCACCCATCGCACTCGCAAAGGCTACTTGCTACGCCAGGGAATCGCCGTCATTGAAGCTCGCAATGAATGACGATCGAATTCATTGCTGCGCATTGCTCCCCTAGATGGCGAGAAGTGCGTGTGAGTGTTGCGAATCCCTCCCAGTGAGATGATGTGTGTGGGATGGCCGCCATGGGCAACACACCTGTCAGTCAGTCAGTCAGTCCATCAACACAGTCAGGCAGACAGGCCAATAAATTCATGTGGGCGACAGAGAGAGAGGGGAGAGCCAGCCATCGTCATGCATCCCCACGACCGACATGCCCAGGCCGGCCACATGTGACTGAATCAATGAACGCGTCAGTCAGGTGCCACACCATGATCCCTGGCCACGCAGGCAACACAGACACTTCACGAGAGAGAGAGGCCATCGATGTGTACAGACACATTAATTCCGTATACATGTACAGAGATCGAGGGCCATGCATAAACACAGACAGCGTAGCCCATCACATAGCCACCCAGCCGGAGCAACCACGCACTCAATCCATCCATGTGCAACACTCTGACGCATCCATCGGTTCTACCCCCGCTCAGCTGCCGTATGGCCTCTCTCCCGCCCGCCCCTCTGCAACGCACCGTCTCCCCTCTCCAGTCTGTGTGTGTGTGTTGTGTGTCATCTAAGATCCTCTGTCCTTGTTGCCCTTGCCGGCCGGCGCGTGGGCGGAGTTGGGAGCGCCCTGGCCCTTCTCGCGGAGTTCCCGTATTCCAGGGGACACGCGCACCCCCACCCCCTCACCGCCCCGGCCCCCGCAGCTGGGCTGCCCTGTGTGGGCACTCGACGGCCCCTCTCGGCCCAGCAACTCCGAGTACTCGTCGCTACCTGATAACACACACACACGCAGACACCCAATCAGACAGACAGACAGACGAGTGATGCAGATCGACAGGAGCCAGGGGATCTGTGCTGTGTTGTGTTGCTTACCTCCGCTGGCCTCTTGGCCGTCGTTGGGATGCATATCATCGTCATCGTCATCGCCACCATCAACGTCTCCATCTGCAGCATCCATCCATTCATCCATGTGTGTGTGTGTGTGTGTGTGTATGTCCTGCTCTCTCCCCACCGTCATCGTCGTCACCCTCAGCCTCACTCTCGCCACCGCCGTCCTCATCTACACCACAGAGACAGAGAAGGCACATCCATCCATCCATTCTCGTGTGTGTCTCCTTCCCTCCCTCTGTCTGTCCGTACCATCGTCACTGTCGTCGGCCCCCCTGCTGCTGCGGATGCTGGGGCTGTTGCGGCGGCTGTTGTCCGTCGAACACGTATGGTGCCACTCGCTCAAAGGCCACACGGGCCAGCTGAGCGGTCAAGCGGAAGCGGTCCTTGAAGGCACCGCTTGCACACACAGGCAACTCGGTCGTCTCGACTTGAAGCGCCACTGCAGACAGTCAGACAGAAGACACTGATGAAATTTGACCAGCATAGCTGCCTGTCTGTCGGCCTCACCGCCGTTTCCCTCATCCAGAATCCAAATCCATACGACGAACTTGTGGCTGCTGTCGGTGAGCACCAGGTATCGCAAACGACCGTCTTGACTGAATGTGGTGATGCATCCGGCCACCGGTGTGTGGGGCGACTGAGTGAGAAGGTCATCCAGACGGCCGTCACCAACACGCCTGAACCAACTGCGCACACACACAATCAAAGCACCCCTCTCGCCACTGCTGCCATTGGTGTACTACCTGTTGAGTCTAGTAAATGTGCGATTGGTTTTGTGGGTCATGAGGATGAGGAAATGGTCGAGGATCGCACGCTTGGCGAAGGACGACACCGACGCATCGGGGAACGGGTCACCCACCGAAACCCATTCGCCACGCACGGAAACTGGCGGGTCATCCTGTCGTCGGTGCCGCTGGTACAGATGGTGGGCAGCAAGGTGCGGGTTGAGGGCGAGCCGGAAGGCGGGCTCGTCCTTGATGGCCCGCACCTCACCATTGGGATGGCGGAAGATCTGCAGGCAGCTGCCATCACTGAACCGCACACGGCGGCCGACCACCATGAGCTGCGCCAACACACGGGGAACCGACATGTACGCCTACACGACACACACATGGATGGGTAAACGCGGCCCTTTCTTGCCCGCCCTCCCGCCTGTGAGTCCCACCGTCTCGTCGGCGTGTTTGTTGATGTCGTCAGCAGTGAGGTTGACGGGCAGCGTGCAGCAGCCGCACTGGCTGGCCAGCTGCAGCACCTCAGCCACCTCCTCCCAGCTCCGCTCCAGCAAGTAGACCACCTTGAAGCCACTCTCGAGGTCACTGATGGTGAAGGACAGGACGTCCTGCAGGCCAAGACGGACCAGCTCCTCCTCTATGTGCTGCTGGACGAGCTCGAGCATCAAGTTCACGTCAGCGGAAGGGAACTTGTGATCTGTGCCGTGACTGCCGCTCGATTCGAGTCATCAGCCGACATGGCCATGTGGGCGGCCTTCTTGATGGTGGCTGCCTCCAGAGAGGGGACGGGAGGAGGGCTCGGAGGCCGGTGAGGGGTGGGCTGCTGAGTGGGGCGATGGTCACAGTGAGGCTGGGACGCCATCGGTCGGCGAGTGGTCTGCATGACACAAAGGCGTGAACACGATGTCACTCAGCACGCCGTGTGCCTGTGTCTGCTTTTCTCGCTTCTTTACGTGCGGGCGATGAATCAACGGCCCTTCCTCTGTGCAGCAACTGCGGCGCGCCCTGCAGACACGGACATGCAAGCATTCGGAAGCGCTTGCATCGAAGGATGAGCCCGCCACATGTCCGCCGGTCTTTCGCTGACCTGGTGCCAGACAGTGATGGCCTGAAGCGAGAGGGCAACACGAGATGACGATGGAGAGCTCGCAACGAGATCTGCAACCAGTGACATGGAGGAGCTCAGTCGACACAAACAAGTAGGCTTCCTTCGTCTCACAATATCCTTACCTGTTTCGGAGAAAGAGGGAGCACGCCTCAGCGAGCTTGACTTCAAGCCCGCCTTTATTGGGACGTCGGGAGAGAAGGGAGGGAGGGAAGGAACAGGAGATGGGAGAGAGGAAAACAACTGAAACAACCCTGATTCATCTGTTCGAGATCCTCATGGTGATGAAGCTCCGTGTGTGCCTCGGCGGCCTGCTGCTTGCCGGTGTCATCGACGCAGCTCCCGATGCACCACCTGACGGCAAGAAACCCGCTAAGGTATGTTTGCATGGATCAGATTGAAGTGATCTCGGCATGATGTTCTGGTGTGTTCAGGAGTTGGAATGCCAGTCGTGCATCGAGTGCCGTCAGCCGATCGGCTGCCCATGCCAATGCGACAACATGTGCATCTCCGGCAAGTGTCACGATGGCATCTGTAAGTTCTGCTGACTGAGTGGTTGCCTTCGCACGTCCACGCTCATTGTGGGTGTGGGGTCGTCATGCGTGCAGGCGTTGCTGCTGGCTTCCTGAGGCGCATGCAGGACGACGAGGATGACTCGAACATGCCCATCGACAATGACACTGATGAAGATGCGGAGGTGCGACCACACAGAACAGACCAGCCCTCACCTGACGCTTCTTACCCCTTGCTTCTGCTCCTTCTCTCAGGAAGGGGCGCTTGCCATACCTGACGGCGTCGAGGTCGCTGATGGAGAGCCGGTCGACCCCGAGGTGGGCGAACAAGACCTACACATACAGACAGAGACCTCCACATTGCACCCAGACAGACAGAGCCCCGCACGTTTGACTGTCTGCACGTGTGTGTGTGTGTCATGTGTGTGCAGGAAGACGAGGATTCCCCACTTGATGTGGCCGAGACCCCCGGTGAGGACCTCGCTGCCCCAGAGGACCAGGGCAACGAGGAGGGCAATGGTGGTGCTCAGCTGAGATCGCTGGGGCCCTGGGGGCGTCGCCACCGAAGGCACCGCCGCAGATGGCGCCGCAGACACCGCAGGTGGCACCGCCGCCACCATGGACACCATCACCATCACCACCACCATGGACATCACCGTCATCACCACTGAGGTGCACCCACGCGCTTGCATGGCAGAGGTTGGTGTGTACGTATGCTGATCTCTCTGTCTGCGTTTGTGCAGCTGAAGGCCCGAGTGCCGGAGAGGAGGGGAGGGGAGGGAAGAGTGGGCACACTGTTCTGCTGTTATCGCATCGACAAGATGGCTCTTCGCTGCGTGCCCATACGGTCTACTGACTGCTCTGTCTTCTTTGCTCAACATATAGTAGGTCTCTCAGGATCTGTGTCTTTTACTGCGTTTTCTTTTTCCTTTTTGTAAATACCAACCGCTCTGCTGGGCTGCGATTGCGCCATGTTGTGAGAGGGTGTGGCTCAGGCAGGTAGACCGTGGCCAACTAGTCCCATTTTAGGTCATATTTGATCGATTCAGTAGCCTGCTGCGTGCTCGTCCACCGAGCCGTCGTGTGAGATGTCCGCCATCCATGGGCAAGGGCAAGGTCATCATTGTTTGTCAGTCGTGGGGCGACATGGGAGAGGGGGAACACATCGCCGGTTGGTTGTGTCTGGGGGAGGGGGGACGGTCACCAGTGTCAGTCACGAGTATCTGAGTATGTGTGTGTTGTCTCCTGTCTCTTTTTCCGTCGTGGAGTGCTGCCTTATTGCCTTTCTGTTGGCTACTGCTAGCATTCCCTTGCACTGCTGTCCTGGGTGGTTGATTCGTCGTATGTCTGATTGTATTTGAGGCGGATGCATTGAGCGTAAGCTGTTCATATCGACGTGATTTACCCAGTACAGTAGGTCTGTGTCGCAAGTTCAAAATTACATGGAGGTGGGAGCCGTCATCTACCCGTAATAGACGTGCATGCACTTTACAATCTTTACACCATTTCATTCAGTGACGATGGGTCTGTACACGAGAAGGCAACGGGTGCCTGCGCGGCTGACCTACACATCTCCCCCCCTCCATCCGACCAAAAAATACGCAACGCCAAAGGTGGACCAGCACGGCTTACACGAGTATACACAAAGTAGATAAAACGCGCGCCTTTCTGGCAATTTGTCTGCTTCACACACTGGTAAGGCCCCACGGCTGGAGTGCGCGGTCGACCGCCTCAGGGGCCGCCACATACGACAAGAGGAGGCCGAAGTTGGTGACAGGCACGCCCATCTCGCGCAGATCGTCCACCCTGCATACACACACCACTCATGGCATAGGAGGGGCTGCGGGTCTGTCTGTCTTGACTGTCTGTTTACTTACGTCTTAGTAGTTACCTGGCTTGCACCTTTTGTTTGTCGATGTAGCAGCCCCCGCAGTGAATCACCAACGAATACGCCCCCAGACCTGATAGCCAGACAGGACACCATCAGCACAGCACGCAGGTGTGTTTGCTTGTGTTCGCATCGTATAATGGATATGCACACATGGATATGCACACACACAGCTCCACCCACCTTTGTCACTTTGGTCTTCAATGTCAGGAAACTCCCTCCCGAAGGCATGATCGACGGCTATGCTCGCCCCGCCTTGTGCCCTGATGTGTCCCGGAAGCTGCACTGTCGCTATGTCGTTGCACAGCTGGGTGATCCTGTTGTGATTGCAGCCCTCAGCTACCAACACACGATCGCCTGCAGAAGACACAATGAAGACAGGGCGAGATTGTGTCTCCTCCTGTCTGTGTGCGTGACCTTGTTTGATGTGTTTGAATCTCTCGAGGCCCTCCACGAATGTGGGCAGCTGGCCGCCGCTCTGTCTGTGCAGAAGGGCGATGGAGAATGTGGTGATGTCGATCAGCGGCCGATTGGTGACCGGATCCAGCGTCCACGGGTGCACGATATCCATCGCCTGAACAACACACAGAGACACGGACGGGTCGATCGTTTATATGTTCACGTGCACCCTATGTGTGGAGCGATGGAGCCTACTTGTGAGTCTGTGATGAGCAGCTTGGGTCCTGCGGTTTGCTGCAGGACCATGTTGAGCATCTTGAGGAAGCGGCTCTTCTCCTCCTGCACCTCTGCTGGGTCGCTGCTGCGAGCCTGAAGCACACACATTGCCTGCATGATACGCCATGTACGTCAGTGCAGGCTGTGACATTGTACCTTTGCCAGGTCCATCCTGTAGGCGACTGTGGTCCCATAGTGGCGAATGATCGACTCCTGCACCATCGCCTGCAGCAAGAACACTCACTCAGATTACTCACATAATAGCCCGACCAATTCAATGGAGGTGTGTGTTTGCGAACATGTACCTGTGGGCGCAGCAGCCTGCCTGCGGGCGTCTCTGCGTCCATGGGGATGTTAAGGAAGAACACACTGTCGGCCGTCAAGTAGGACTCGGGCACACAGGGAAGGTCGTCGTGATACATACTGCCGTGAGCAGGGGACGACTGACGGAAGGAAGGACGACACGAGTGTGCACACGTGTGGCTTAGTTTGCTGTCTGTGTTTGTGCTCACCTGTATGAACTTGACAAGTCGGTCTGATGCCTCTGGGGCGCCGAGGTCGAGACACAGTACTCTGTGCATCGATGAAGGGTCGAGCATCTCCAGCAGACGAACCACGCCATCCTGATTGAGAATCCATCCACACAGGCAGACAGAGCCAGTCACTTCTCATGCGCATTGCATTCGTATGGACGGACAGAGAGACACACCCATCTGTCTGTCCTGTCTCACAGACCTCGATCTGTCTCCTGGTCCATCCCTGGGTCGCGCCCTCCTGCTCCTTGATGTTAAAGACTATGCTGACCTCCTTGTGCCTCTTCTCGCCCATCTCGATCAGGTACCGCTCCCACTGCAGGGCATCGGGGGACGCCAAAGTGGGCTCCGTCGGTGAGAGCTTCTGCAACGGGTCCACGACCAGCAGCGCGATGTCGCTCTCCTTCAACACGCTGCAAGGATGGAGGACGAAGACGTATACATAGTGCCCGTTGGTTCTTTTGGTGTGTGCGTGCGTCCCCCACCTGATCGTCTTCCTGCGCTTCTTCTCTCCGAGCTCGCCTCGTTCGTCAATGCCGGCCGTGTCGAAGAGCTTGGTGGGCCCGATGTCGTGCAGCTCCATCAGAGTGATCTTCGTGTCGGCCGTCGTGCCGGGCGTTGCATCCACAATAGACAAGTTGGAACGTGTCAACCTGCACTCACGTCCATGCGTGTATCCAACTGCCCGCCGCATGTCGTGTGTGCACCTACTTGTTCATGAGTGTGGATTTGCCGGCATTCATGGCGCCGAAGAAGCCGATGTTGATCCTGGGCAGCTCGCTCGCACCGGGGGACTTGGGGGCTGCTGGTGATGGCTTGGAGGAGAAAGATCGCCTTGCAAGTGTGTGGTGGCTGCGGACATGCTGATAGAAATGCGGTGGGTCGCCCCACACCGCTTTCGCCGCCTCCTTGCCTACAACACATGCATCCGTACGTCCACAGACAGCAGATGGATCCATGTGTTGACTGACGGGTGCTCTGCTTCTATGTGAGTGCAGCATACCGATGGATTTGAGTCTGAAGTTGAGGCACTCCTTGCACTGCTCGGCCGTGTCGGTGATGCACGGCTTGCCCTCGTACAGCTGGTAGTTCTCTCTGGACAGACCGGGCCGCACACACAGATGGGTGTCATTCCGTGTGGATGCGTACGTGCGTCTGTCTATGTGTACCTGAATTGTGTGGGTGTGAGGATGGGCATCAGCACGTTAGCACCTCTCCGCAGTGCGACCTCGCGCCCGTTGGCATTGATCGCTTGCAAAGCTGCAGAGAGGTTGTGTATGGACATAGAGAATGCGTGTGTGTGTAAGGGCATGTGTGCGTCCCTCCGTACGGTAGGTACCTGTTGTGGCGGCGATGTTGATGTTGCCCATGGTGATACGGCATATGCTGATCAGGACCGTGGTCAAGTCGAACATCTCAGCCATGTGCTCCTTCTTGTCAACATGCCCGTACTGAGCTTGCCTGCGTGTCCATCGGCACAAATGTGGACGCAGAAGCGTGCAAGTGGGTACGTGTGTGCCTAGAGTATCTACCACATGTCTGCCACAGGTGTGTCTTCCTGTGTGATGTAGGGCCCCATGCCCACCATGTCGATATCCTCATCGCGAAAAAACACGATGTCCCTGACAGACACGGATGCATCATCGAAACGCACTCTTGTCAGCACAGAGTCCAGCCACGCACCTGGCAAGATCCTCGAGAGTCTGTCCCGGGATGCCAATCATCACACCGCTGCCGACCTGAAAGCCAACTTTCTTGAGCAGTCGAAGACACGCCAGCCGCTTCGCAAAGCTGCATAAAGATGCCCATCGTGTGCACTCAGACACGTCTGTGCACGTTCATGCTTACGGTTGCGTGGGTGGGTGTATCTTGCTGTACAGTTCAGGGTTTGACGACTCGATCCGCAGCAGATACCGGTGTCCCCCGGCCTCATGCAGCCGCCGGTAGTCGGCTTCGCTCAACTCACCCACTGATAACGCTATGCCGATACCTGCGTCCACATACACATTCAGACGAAGACGTTTGGATTCGTCCTGTGCATGTTCGCGGACTCACGTACCTTTGTCTTTGAATCGTGGGTCCGAGCCGATGAATGACTCCGACCGGACCTCTTCGATCAGCTCGTCGATTGCGGGATCCTCAGCCTGGTTGCTGTGCCGCCGGTGGCGCTTCTCCTTCTCCAGATTAGTCAACACCGTCTCGCGCCTACAGATTGACACACATACGTGCCCTTACACACATCTGCATTTGCATTGTTTGCGCCGATCCATGTGTGCGTGGCGCACCTGATGGCTGTGATGACGTCTGTGAGGTACTTCATTCTTGCAGGGTGGTTCAGCTCGCCACTCTGCAGCATGACGGACCCATAGCCGTTGTCGTGCGCCCACAGAGCTATCGACAACAGCTGCTTCTTGCTGATCGTGTACCTGATCAACACAACAACCATAAGCCAGCACGTTCGTGGGTATTTGAAGATGATCTTGGTGTGTGTGCGTGAATTGGGTGTGGCTCGGCTCACCGCTCCACGTTGGGTTGGTTCTTGCGTATGCCACAGTACAGGCAGTCGTTCTGGCACACGTTGGAGAACTCTATCAAGCCACGATAGAACACCTCTGAAACACAACACACATACATACACACAAAGCCAGATCTACCATACCAATCCCACCACACGAGGAATACAATACGCCTTCCTTCGATGCTTACTTACTGTTGCCAAAGAATCTGCGAGTGACTTCGTTTGCATGAGCGAATAGTGCCTCCCGCACCCGCTCATCCCTCGATCCCTCCTTCCAGCACATCTCCATCAGCCCATGGATCTCATTCTGTCCCAGACACACCACCTCGCCCAGACCGATGCCCCTCTTCAACACGTCACCCAACACACCTAACACAGACAGATCAGATAGACGCTTGCAATGCATCAACACCGAGTGATGGTGTTCCTTCCTTCGTGTACGTACCTGCGGCTGCATGTGCATCCATCATCGGTGCGTACAGCGGCGCGCCATCGTTGTTGGTGTTGATCTGTGCAGCCTTCGGGATGGCGAGAAAAGGAGATGTCGATGCCCGTGGCACAGATGACGACGCCTGTGACGCGAGAGTGGACAAGAACCGGGACGGCAGGATGGACAGCGCCCGCATGGGCTCCACCGAGGACGGCAAAGCCCAGAAAAGGGGTCGAGCCAGCATCAGCTCTTGATCACCAAAAATGATGTCGGTTTCACTCTGCTTTCGGCATTTCTCTCTGATGTATCATCCTCTGAGTACCGCAGCCGACTCACCGAGGAGTTCTGTCAGACAAATTGGTGCAACCCAAACACAAGGGAAAAAACCGATCGCGCGCTAAAGGATGCTTGCGACGGATGACGGCGCTCTCTAAGGATGCACCGACGTCAGCGATAGAAGTAGAGTGAAGCTGTTGAAGAGGATCGACGCCTGAGGACATCTGATCATGCTGAGTGTAGTTCGTCACATCAGCGCACCATCTGCGGCCTTGCCGGCGCTGTCATGCCTCTCCAGCCGCCTTGCGAGTCCCTGTGCTGCCCGCACGCAGCGGTTTGTCCGTCACTTTGGGCTGTGGTCCAAGGAATTGGAGAAAGGACATGTGTACAAGGTAAGAGAAGGCAGACAACGACCAGATACACGTACGAGGGCATCGTGGTGGTTGCTGTGCTGTGTGTTTCGTCCCATCCAGGACGCCAATGAGATCATCAACCATGACCTGATATTCAAGCACCTGGAGGCCACCAAGGGCGCGGCGAAGGACAAGAACGTCATCAAGGACATCCTCGAACGCGCGAAGGAGCGATCGTTTCTCAAGGTGAGCATACAAGGTACATCCACACGTGTGTGGTGTGGGAGCACAAACAAGGTTTGGTGTGTTATGCTATGCGTTCAGGATGGTCCTGCGACTGGCGGCAGCGAGTACGTGCGGGGTTTGGAGCTCGACGAGTGTGCGACGCTGCTTAATGTGAATCCCGACGACACAGACATCATGGAGGAGATATACAACACAGCATTCGACATCAAGAACCGCATATACGGTGGGTGCGTATGAGTAACTAAGGCGGAGAAACACGGGAAGGGAGGCCGCGTGGTGCTGTGTCGATGCACCTATCAGGCAATCGCATAGTGTTGTTTGCGCCTCTGTATTTGGCCAACTACTGCGTCAATGGGTGTGCGTACTGCGCCTTCCGGTCGTCCAACAAGGCCATACAGAGAACCAAACTGAGCGACCAACAGGTCACCGAACAGGTACGGGACGTGAATCGAATCAATGGATGGATAGATAGCGCAGGCCCACACAACCACACAGACGGGACGGGCGCTCAATGTGTGTGTGTGTGTGTGTGTGTGTGTGTGCAGGTGAGTATATTGGAGCGTCAGGGGCACCGCCGCATTCTGGCGCTGACTGGCGAGCATCCCGCTTACACGTTTGAGGACTTCCTGCACGCACTCAAACTCATCACCGAAGTCAGAACGGAGCCATGCGGCAGCATCAGACGGTATGCAATGCAACGCACCCTCATGTGTGCAGGCATGCCAGTGCATCCTGTGTTGTGTCTGGCTGTCTGTTTGTCTGTATGTCTGCAGCATCAATGTGGAGATTCCGTCTCTGTCGGTGTCCGACATGAAGCGTCTCAAGGCAGCCGACTGTGTGGGGACGTACACGCTGTTCCAGGAGACCTACCACAAGCCCACCTTCCACACCATGCACCCATGGGGGCCCAAGAGCCACTACGAAAACAGAGTACTCACACACGACAGAGCCATGAGAGGAGGTGAGCGAACGAGGGACCACACACACACACACACACACACACAAACAGATGTGAATGCGCACATCTCTGTGTGTCTCATGGTGTCACTCACTACAGGGCTTGACGATGTGGGTATCGGTGTGTTGTTCGGCCTGTATGACTATCGCTTCGAGTGCATGGCCATGCTCATGCACTCCAACCACCTGGAAGAGGTACGTACTTCCACACACACGAGCAAACCAGCTATGCGCACACACACATATATGGGTGGGGTATTGTGTGCGTGTGTGCAGGAGTATCGTGCCGGCCCCCACACCATCTCCGTGCCCCGCATGCGCCCGGCAATGGGCTCAGGCGTGGCGTCGGACCCGCCTTATCCGGTCGATGACGCCCACTTCAAGAAGCTGGTGGCCATCCTCCGCATCGCCGTCCCATACACGGGCATGATCCTCTCGACACGCGAGGCGCCAGAAATGAGAGGTGAGTGAGACGGGAGATAACATACGACAGCATACCTGACGACGAGCAATTGACTGTTTTGTGTGCTTGGTCGTGTTTGCGTGTGTGTCACTTTCAGCCCATCTGTTGCGTGTGGGTATGAGCCAGATGTCTGCTGGTTCGTCCACCGAGGTGGGCGGGTACCACCGCCACGCCACCCAGCGGACAGACGAGTCGCTCGGCGATCTCACCATGCAAGCACTCCTGCCAGAGAAATATGGCAAGGCAGCAGCTGGTGACACGGCGATGGATCACGAGCACACGGACCCCAACCTGGGCGGGCAGTTCCAGCTGGAGGACACCAGAAGCAGCGAGGAGATTGTTCACGACCTGCTCGAATCGGGGTAGGGTTCGCATGGGACGCAAAATGACTGACACAAGAATGGTCCATGTTTGGCTGTGCGTCAGTTACGTGCCATCGTGGTGCACGGCGTGCTACCGCAAGGGCCGCACAGGGGAGCACTTTATGAAGATAGCCAAGGCAGGCAACATCCACAACTTCTGCCACCCCAACTCGCTCCTCACACTCCAGGTGAGGGCGTTCGAATATGCTCATTCGACAGCATCCACGTGTGCCCCATATTCTGTCTGGTGTCTCTGTTTTGTGCAGGAGTGGCTCAACGACTATGCCAGCCCCGAGATCAAGGAACTGGGCAACAAGGTGCGTCTGGAATGCCTTGAGGGGGGCGGTTTTAGGTGTGCATACATATGTTCACCTTTCCTTGTTGCCGCAGGTGATAGCCCGCGAGAAGGAGATCGACCTGTCAGACTCGGCCAAGCGGCTGCTGGACCGCAAGATGGAGGCCGTCAACAAGGGACAGCACGACGTCTACATATGATCCATGCATGATACATTAACGACACGACACATTTCTGGCCTGGCTGCACCGCCCCCATCCCTGCCTGCATGCTGTGTACATAGTCAGTCAGCCCTGCCTGCATTGCACATATCGACTGACTGGCTAATGTGCTGCCCGTTGTGTGTGCTGTGCACTGTGTGAATACCTACCTAGTTGACTGGCTGGCCCATTTTTCGTCTCGCCACACACGTCTGTCTCGCCACTCTTTTTCGCGCACACGAACACGAAAGGCCGTCTGGCCGATCGAGCCGCGGGTGCTGGGAGGGAGGGAGGGAGCATGGGGCACACGGGCATCTGCCTGCTCGTGAGGGGCCTGCAGCTAGTCGACTGCGTGGGTGTGTGCATGTAGTCAGGGTTTTCTTTGCATGGGGGGCGTCGCGTCAGAGGGTGGGCCGTCGGGGGTGTATGCTGGCACTGCAACATGCATTTCGCATCTCCCTCTTACAGGTGTACATGAAGGTGCCTTAATTGTGCATGTGTCTGTCGTGTGGATGATTGATGTACAGTGAGAATTCAGAGTGTGTTGGGCCGTATTTTTCCTTCCCCTGTGTGTGCAGTGCACGTTGATTGTTTGCAATGATCGACTGTGTGATTGATTCATGGCTACCGCCACTTTGCATTGCATGGACCTTCTTGTCACTGACTACCCATAACGCTCCCACACGCCCGCGCGTGAGTCGTCACTCTCCACCCCCCTCCCTATACACAAATCAAGTATATAACCCATCCCTGTTCAAGCAGACATTGCGCTACAGCCACTCGATTATCCAATGAAAAGTATCTTGGAGGCTGGCTCGGTGAGTGTCGAGGCGGTCAACAGCGCCACCACCACACGCGTGACACAACCAACATAAAACAAAGCGACGACCCAGCCACCCCCAACCTACTCCTCCCCTCCCCACACCCCGCTCGTTAATCAGTTTCTGCAGCTGCTAGATTCTCCCAACAGGGCCCCCGAGGGCTGCCATCCTTCGGTGGGCCTGCCGTGCGTGCTCGTCAACTCCTTCGCCCTCATCAACCCTCTTGACTTCGGTGGGCTTCCTTCGTGTCGTGTCGGCTGGTGTGACAGCTTTGTTCGTCGGGCAAAGAAGGAGCAGCAGCCACCTGCAGACAGCAACAGCGGCAACCAAGTATGGCCATATGTGCATGGCAGTCGTCTTTTTCGTGCCGACCTGGTCAGCGTTGGGTGAGCAGGGACCGGCGAAGGCTTGGTGACTGCCTGTGTCGGGCATTCGCCCCTCTACGGGCCTGCCAGATGGGTTGTTGGCAGAGAGCGGCCGGTGTTGTCCGAGAGGTCTGGTCCTGATGCAGCGATGCGATGGCACGCTCTCTCTTGTCCCTCCTCTCCTCCGCATCGCCTCCACTTGGCTGCAGCTCTCGATCCTGGTCCTGCTCCCTGCTGACGGTGCCCCTCTCGCCCGTTGGGGGGGTCTGGCATCGTCGATTGTTGCGACGAGGATGGGGTGCTGTCCACACGCAGCTGGGCCGGCGATGGTGCGACAGGGCATGAGGGCCTTGCGTGGCCTGAGAGGCCGTCGAATGACACCACCGGCCTTGCGTGGCCGTCCTGTCAGTGCGATTGGCGGCCGGACCTCTTGAGACGCTTGGACGGAGGCCGGTCCGCCACCCAGTCGTCATGTCAGACACAAAAGCGGTCCATAAGACGCTCGTGCGCACGGCGGGGAGACGGGGCGTGTGCAGCGCGGTAGGTGATTGTGAAAGTCTTGAGCGGGCCGAGGGTCGATGCGTGACGGACCTGAAAGGCGTCACAGGAGAGATTGACGCACACGTGGGCGTGGCGTCTGGCGTCCTCTGTGCTCTGTGTTGATGCTTCTGTACCTCCAGGCAGTAGGTAGTGAAGCCGTCACTCGTGGTCTTCCACTTCCACTCTACAGGCAGACCAAGCACACACACAACCACACCTTTGCCACACGGACGTCTCCAGTATATGCAGGCCGCTGCTCACCGAGTCGTACGCCCTCGAATGTCCCCCCCATTTCCTCTGTCGTCGCCTCCCGTCGACGGAACCCCAGTCCATCGCAGAGCTGCCCCACACTCTCCCTCGCCTTGACTTGCTGACGCAGCTCATCCATCATGCGCCCGGCATCCTCTAGCGCCCTCTCACTGTCACCCACACTGAGGGACGCCTTACTCCTATGCGCCGATGCTCCTTTCGCCTTGACGGGCATCGTCATCAACTGCCGCCAGAACTCGTCAGCGAGCTCCTTGGCCTCGATCGAGCCGTGCGTGCCCTCCGAAAAGGCCTTGTGCGCCCCCATGCCGTGCACCACCCATGCCCTCCTCCCTTGATCATACGACACGCCCTCGGGGACGCTGCCGTGCGACGCAGGCGCCCGCTTGAATGGTGATAGCGTTGTGCGGCGGATTGGCTTGGCCGCCTTCCTGCTGGTGCTGCTGCTGGTGGCGCGTGACGTGAGGGACTGCCGTCGGCTTCTGCTCTGTGTGGTGGGGCGAGTCGGGTCGTAGAAGAGTGGCACAGGGGGGAGGGAGTAGGACGAGGGTGAGATGAGTGCTGGGGGGTTGGCGCCTGTATGGTGGATGGGGTTGCGGGAAACGGGGAGAGCTGAGAGAAGATAAACCACACGTGAGAGCCAGTCGTGAGAGCCCCGTGGATCTTGCCCTGTTCACCTTTGATAGTATTCTCCCAGGCCTCTTGTCTCTCGCGCACAAATGCCTCGGCTTGTTCTTTGGCCGTGTCGCTCCCTCCTTCTTGGCTCACAGGGACCTCCAGCACCCTCAGATACCCGCCACACCGCCACACAGCCCGCCAGCACTTCTTGTCTTCATCATACACCACGCCGGTCGTTTGATGGCTACTCGCCGGCTCCGGCGTTTCGCCCTGCGTGGTGCGGATCTCCTCGCAGAAGGCCATGGCTTGCTTCTTGGCGCGTTCGGAGCCTCTGTGGCGGCTTCTGTGAGTACACACACACGCATGTGTCGCTGCGTGTGTGCATATGGAGGTGTGATGGTTGTGGCTGACCTGAAATGTCGCGTGGTTAGTCGTCCGGCGCCGTCGAGATGGATGACGGCCCAGCCCACGTGGATGGGGTCAGGGTTGAACTCGACGCGGGGCAGGTGGCCAGGCCGGCCGAGGTACCCACCTGACATGACGAGTGCCTGCTTAGCTTATTCTCATCCATCTTGTGCACCTGTCTGCTTGTTCCTGCCCGGTTGTTTTTGGTCGCTGTCAGAATTGGTGTGAATGGACTCGGCCTTCATATCCCTATTGTCGTCACGCCCATCCCTCGCCAACGGCAACGAACCATCACCCACGGCACATACACCTAAAGACGAAGGCATTTCGACGTGTGATTGATCATTGTTCATACTTCCCATCCCACTCACCTTGTCCCACGCCTTTGACCGTCTCGAGCCGCGGCGTGGCCAAGGCAGGTCGCTTCCGGGGCCGCTTTGGCGACGCCTTGCCGGTGTGCCCATCGTCTTTGTGTAAGCTCTGGTCGGTTGGCCTGAGCCGGGCGTCGCTGGGGTCGCCTCCCTCTACCATTGAGTCGGTGCTGTCAGGCGATTTTGATAAAGGTGCAACCTCATCAGTCCGTCAAACCAGCTGACGCAGATCACACGCGAAAACAGTGGATATCACAGGAATATGCGGGTGCATCTCTTTCCTTCTTACTCACCTCACCTGCATGTGGTGCGCGACTTCTGCGTGGCAGCAAGGCAGCAGAGGACGGTGACAAAAGGAGCGAATTGAGGTGCGGCACCGATGAGAGATCTGAATCAGCTCCGCCCCACATTGCGAGGTCACCACGACTCGACCCTAACCCACAAGTAGACTCATCGCAGGGGCGTGATTGCTGCCGCCTTTGCGGTTTGATAGCTTCTGGCTGGTTTCCGTCGCCAGCACACGTGGACAGCACACGTGGACTGATCCGCCATGGACGTCAGTGAGGTGAGTTTTCTTGATGGCTCACAAGGCATGCAGGGCAGAGGATGGATGATACACGAGCACTAAAGAGAGAATCCAGACGGAGAAAGGCCTTCACTGCTTGCTCTGTGTGTTGCTCGGCATTCCCTGTAGCTTGTTGTTGCGAACGCGCAGGCTGTGAAAGACAGGGTACGCCACACGACGCCATTTCCTTGCCGCTTCTTCGGCTGCACAGTGGTGCTGTGTGTGTTGTATGTTGTGTGAATAGATCATAGCACAGCTGTCGCGCCTTCTTGAGCAAGACGCCGCCAGCATCGCTGCACCGGTGGGTCAAACTCACTGGCGGATAAACATGCCGGTCACTGTGCGGTCCTTTGATTGCTTCATCTGACCTTAAGGCGTCGTCTCCTGAGGCATGGGTGCTCAATTATCAGCTGGGCTCGATGGCCTCCCTGCTGAATGCACTCACCACGCAGCTGGAGCAGGGAGAGCCCGGCCTGGCCGGTGCTGTGGATGCACTCACACCGACCACGGAGGCTGCTGCTGCGGCGGGCCCTCAACACCCAGAGGCACAGGTGAGATGAAGCAGCGGGTGACCGGCCATCGTTACGCAGGGATCTCTCCATCCTGCATTGCTGTGGTGGTGTTGTAGGCTCCCGTAGTCGCCGGCCCATCATATCGTTTGATCCATCAAAGCGGCACTCCTCCCCCCATCCACCAAGGACCGGTCAGTCCGACACCATGACAGATCTGATACATCGAAACCATCCCGACCTTACTTTGATGTCACGTCGATTGCCACATCAGGCCCGTCGTTGGCTGTCCCGCGACGAGTTGGCCAATGCCTTCGGCCATCTGCAGCCCTGGGAGCTGACGCGCTACCGCCGGCCCCTCGGCACGCCCCTCTTCCATCAGTCGGCCGCCAACTACACCCACCTGGTCATCGACTGTGAGGACGACACGGCACGGCGCATGTGGGAGGCCATGCCGCTGGCCGTGGCACACATATGGGGCGAGAGGGCGACCAGCATCCGAGAGATCAAGCACCGCCACCCCAGGGGGCAAGAGAGCTGGTGTCGCGGCACCTGGGTGGCCGTGGTGGAGGGTCACGGGCGGGGCCGGGCGGCCAATGCAGAGAAGAAACGACGGGAGAGGGCGGGAGGGGAGGGGGCAGCTGCCGCTGCTGCGGTGGGGCAAGATGATGACGGAGGCCGGTCGGCTGACCAGGGCACATTGGAGATGCTGTTATTCGAGGCCGTCAAGCTCCATGACAGCATTGACATGCCCGACTCTATCCCCTCATCTGATCTGCCCCCCGCCCCCACCGCCCCCACCGCCCCCATTCACTTGCCCGCACTCACGACGATCGACAGCATCCCCAGTGACCACTGCCTGTGGGCACGTGTGGGCCGCCAGTGGCACACACCCGCTGTCAAGACCCTCACCATCCGAGGCGGCATTGGTGAAGAAGATGTGGAGGGCGCGAGGTCATGGCTGGCCGACTGCGCCGACATAGAGGTGCTGCACCTCAGCAGTTGCGTTATTGACGGAGGGGACGCAGACGACGTGGCCGGCATGCTGAGTGTGCTGCCCGCCGACGGGAAGTCACTCGCGGCGCTTCGCACACTGCGCGGCGTCGACGTCGAGATGTATGACAGAGACCCCGCCGCCATCGACAGGCTGCGTGAGGTGATGGTGGCGAGGGGCGTCAGCCGGTCCATTCGTGAGCTCGAGATCGACATGAGGTCGATGGGGAGCACTCCACATGATGTCGAGCGGTGCCAGAGCGTTGCACGGCTCATGTAAGGACACACACACACAGACAGACAGAGAGAGGGAGGGGGGGAGGGAGAGGGGCTGCAGAGAGACGGTGCAATTCATTCCTGTGCTTTGCCTTCGATCAGTGACGCCATTGCTCATCCCGAGGCAGTGAAGAAGGGCGTCTTCACACTCTGCCACGACGGCACGTGTGGAGAGATTGACGAGGCGCTCCTCTCGCGCAGCAGCACCGGCCCCGCCGCCACCCAGCAGCTCATTCGCGACTTCGCTAAGAGAGCCGGCACCGTGATGTACCTCGTCGACGACGACGCCGTCCCTGCAACCATCACCGACGCCTCATTCCCCGCCGCGCACACACTGTCGCCCTCGCCAATGAGGCCAAGAAGAAGCGGGCGGTCGAGATCGCCTCCAACATGCCCAACCTGTCGCGCATCGAGACAGATGTCGCCCCTGTTCGTGAGATGTGGCGGTTCCTCGAGCAGCTGCAGGCGGCGCTGGTCAGCCGGGGGCGGGAGAGGAGCCTGTCAGTGCATTATCGTCCGTTGGCAAACGCATTCGTGGAGCCGGTGCACACTGTCCGGAGCCCCTGTCTGTGGGGGCGGGACACCAACGACAAGCTGCCGCCATAAAGGAAGTGACGGTCACCGTGTTCGGTAAGGGGGGAGGGGAGTGCAAAGGGGAGAACCAGCAGCCATGGCGTCTGTGTGTGGGTTGTGTTCAATCACTGTAGGCGGTGTAGAGGATGACCAGTTGGAGCAGTTTTACGACAACGTGATGGCCTCTGTGGCGTCATTCAGCAACGAGCTCAAGGTGCGCCGCACACCACACCACACAAAGACAGCTGCCGGGCGATGTGTGTGTGCTGCCCACTGTCCGGTCGGTTTGAATGGGTGACAGGGCCACAGGAAGACCTGTGTGAGGTTGCTCTGCGATGCCCTGCGCACCGACTTCAAGCGGCGCTTCATGGCGCAGCAGGCGAACCTCAACCTCAGCGGCGGGCCCTACAAGCTCAGCCTCGAAGCCGACGGGCTGTGTGTCGAGCGCCGCAATGCCGCCACAGGTAGGACACACATCACACACACCACACCACCCGCCACAGCGTGCCTTCAGTGTCTGTCTGTCTGGCCGTGTGTGTCGCCCGTCAGATGGTCACTCGGCGGCCCATGAAGGCTGCTGAGACAGCCGCGATGCATGCTGGTGTGAGAGAACACCTTGACGGTGTGCAGCGTAGAGCGGTGGGGTGGGAGACAGCTAGATGAGTGAGTGGCTGGTTAGCGGGAAGAGCTGGCTTCCCTCGCAGCCACCACGGCCCACTGTGGTTGGCTGTGCGGTACGTTGCTGTGGGTGTGCTGAGAACTTCATGCGTGTGCATGTCGATGGTGCATACACACATACCTGACTGAGTGGCTGCGACTTAATGCCTGACAGGTCTACATATGGCGTGGCGTCTGTGCAGCTATGCATCACACCACCCAGATCAATTCCCTCCCCGGTCACCCAGTCAGTATGTGTGTGTATCAACAAGCAAGAAAATGGCCATTCATCCAGCCAGCCAATTACATAGATGGATGAAAATGCATGGCCACACAGGCAGACAGTCATTCCATCTATCTCCTGCCCTGCACTGCCCTGCCAGTCTACACACAGAGACAGCCTCCCTGCTTGTCCTTCCCTGTTGGCTACGCATCGCGTCAGCCGACGAGTGCACATCACATCACATCCATGCAGCCAGTCCATATCAGTGTGTGTGTGTGGTATGCATTGTCCCCGCGGCAGGCCATCTACACTACTCACGGTGGCAAATCCATCTACGGCTCCGTGTGTGTGTGCGTCTTCATTCGTTCAATCATCGCTCCACCGGTCGGTATGTGCCGCGAGTGCCCCTGTTCCGGCCGGCCGACCGGCCCCCCGACCCGCCACGCCACTCGTCTAAGCTGTGCAGCGGACTGGAATCAGCCTTGGCTGCACAAACCAACACGCACAGAGGGACACATGAGTGTGCAGAGGAGAGGTGTGTGAGGGGTGGGTGTGAACGTTGCGTTGCGTACGTGTGTCTCTGAATGGCTCGTTGAGTTGTCTCCTGTACTCTTGGTAGGCGTCGAGGTCGTCGTACCGGCGGCCATCGCTAGGCGACACGGAATGCAGATACGCAATCCAGGACGTCTGATGTATTTATTGCAAGGAGGGAGGCAAGACAACACACCCATGGCATCCCACGCCACGTCAGGCACACTCTTTGTTGTGTGTGTATAGGAACGAACGCACCAGCAGTTGTGTGTTGACGATCATCTCGTGGAAGAATCCGGTCTCGTAGGTCGGAATCGGCTGAATCGTGCTGCATTAGTCAATCCATAACCAACACATCCGACGTCATACTCGTGTGGGTTTGCCTGTTCTGATTGCATGTCGGTTATCCGTACCGTTTGGTCATGGCGAGTGGTTTGAGCGCTGCCTCCATCATGGCCAGCAGCGAGTGCAGCAGCTCCTCGGGCCACTTGGTCCACACCGCAACCGACTGACCCAGCCATCAACGCGCAATTCATCAACGACAAATGGAGCGAACGAACAGTGCAGACACCGACCCACCGCACCTGTTTCTTCTTGGAGCATGTGATTTCGATGCACCACGGCAGCCCGTCCGGCAGTTTGTTGCCCGGATGACCCTTGCCGTCACGGCTCGACAACCTACCAGTCCAGTCAGCATTCCATCCCCACACATAACATGTGAGGGCGTGGCTTTGGTGAGTGATGATGTGTGTGTCATATGGTGTGCGGAGTAGAGACCACCCACCCCACCTGTGTGTGAGTATGATGGTGATGCCCTTGGAGGGAGGCGGCTCCGTGTCCAAATCCAATCGCTCGGCCAACTGGGGAATGCAATGCGACTCCATAAAGTAAAGTCACGTGTGGATGGCTGAGGGAATGTGCGTATGTGCGTACCAGGCATCCCTCGACGACCTTCCAGTAGCGCAGCACCGTCGTGATAGCCGCGACCAATGGAATGCCCAACGCTGTGTGATGCGATGCACCCACACATACACACACATTTACAGACAAATCAAGTGCACACCTCCTTTCGTTTGCCCGCCTTCTGCTGTTCCGTCCTCGTTGTGTCGATCGACTGCCTTACTTACTTCCAGCTTTGTATTCGCGTGTGTTGATGGGCGTGCCCTCCGCCAGCTCCTTAGCCGAGCACGACGCCAGACGGGACGGCCAGTCACTCACAGGCACGTCACCTGTCATGCATGACACACACACACGACACACGACACACACGTGTGACATGACAACCTAAGCTGCACCCGTATGTGCGTATGTGTGCAGTGAGTGCACTCACAGCGGTCGATGTACTGCCGCATCACCGGAAGGTTGTTCCTGAACATCACATTAACCACGCACAGCATCAATCAGATCATCCTATCCGCTCATTCATTCCCTTTGGCTGTCTTCTCCCTGCCACCCCACTTACTCGTCGAGAAACTGGTCGTACGTGGGATGTTTGCCCACCGCTGCGCCATACGCTATGCCGCCAGGGGGCGCTATGGCTGTTGGACACACAACACATGACGCACAGAAACAAAGGCAACCACGCGTGAATGAGGCCGGGCGGGGTGGGGTGTCCGCTTTGCTCTGACGAGTTGGTCACCTCACCTGGTGCGAATGCCGATCCAGGGGGCATCTCGTGTGTGGGGCTGCCGCGACTGGTCGCACTCTGGAACATCCATCGCATCGACAGGTGCGGTGCAGAGAGGGATGGACACGTCACACGTATCGATGGAGGCAGGTGGGTATGCCGACTGACTGACCTTGGCGCTGGCTTCGCTGCTGCTGCTGGCGCCCTTGGGCGTGACGAACTCTACATACTTGAGGCGAGACGACAAATCCGCCTTCCTCAAGGTGCTGACAGACGAACAAATGACACACATACATTGCCAGACAGTGTCTTGCTGTGCGAGCCTTCGAGTGAGGGTGCATACGTTGTGGTACGCAGGTGGTCGAACCAGGATTGCTGTATGAAGACACACAACATGTAGACAGGGAGTTGTGTGTGTGTGTGTGTGTGTATGGACAGCTCGAGGCATATGAGTGTGTTTAGACTACTCGCATACCATGAGTTTGGTGTTGATGATGAAATTGGCGAAGAAGACGGCCTCGTACGTGTCGCACGGATGCAGACACTTCCGACCCATCGGCTACACACACACACACACAAATGGAGGGATGGATGGATGGATGGATCGGTGAGTGTGTGTGACCCTGGTCATGGTGCGAGTGAGATGTCTGACCTTAAACAGGGCTACGATCATCGCTAGGAGGGTGCGCAGGTCATCACACGACCACGACGTCAGCACGGCTATGCACTGACACACGCAATCACACATCACATCCACACACACATTTTCGGGCAATGTCAGTACCTGTTTCTTGACGTAGCAGGTGACAGCAACGGTCCAGACGCTGCCGGGGTCATCATCCCACGCACGGCTGGCCGCAGGGATGCGATACCTGCACAGCACACAGACGGACATGTCGTCGATGAAGGTACCCACGTATCTGAGTGAGTGAGTGTGTGTCGGTGCTGTGCTGACTTGTCCATCATGTGCAGCTCGATCTTCTCCGCATCGATGCTCTCACACGGACCAATCTACACACACACACACACACACACAGAGAGAGAGAGAGAGACGAGGAGTGCTGGCGTGACCTTAAGCAGCCAGCCTCCATAAAGATGCCCGTACCCAGACTCTGGATGCGATGCGCCAGAACTTGAGGACGCCACACAGTGTGGACAGGAAGGGCATCTCTGAACCCTTCTCCTTCCGGGACACTGGCACTACACATACACACACAGACACAGACACATGGCATGGGCGTGTGTGCGCCTCTCTGTGCGTGTGAGTGTGTGTACTCTTACCCCTGTTGGTCGGTTCGTATTCGTTTGGCAGGTCGGGCATGTTGGGGGCTTCCTCAGTCACCAGACGAGACGCCCAGTCCGTCATCGATATGTCAATGTCCGCTGACACACACACACACACACACATAGAGAGAGAGAGGGAGAGAGAGAGAGAGACGTAACGTGGATTGCGTGTCAACAAGCGCGTGGTACACACATGGACCTACCTGCGTGGATGTCTGTCGTGACGGTGGCTGAGTCCTCCTCCGTGTAGTACTTCCGCGGCAACTCACCCGTGTCGCTGCACAGCACAGCACAGCACAGGACACACATCACGATGCAGACAGACATATCCACGTCACGTACGCTCCCATGTGTTGTGGGTTGGATGGAGCACTTACACGTCCTTGGCGGCGCCACTTAGATGCGCGGCAGATGACGACCGGGAGGGCTCTGAGAACATATGCGATGAATGAATGGATGTGATGCCCCCCTGTCTCCGTGCGTGTCCGGCTGACCCAGCTCTTCTGGTTGTTGCTGCTGCTGCTGTGTGTAGTTGTCGTGTGGTTGATCTTCCTCACCCTCGACGATCTCGTCTGGCTCGGGACGCAGGATGTTCTCATTCGCATATGCCGTCATGGCTGACATGCACACACGCGCAGAATACACCGAGAGGCGTAGATACATGTCATGTGCTGCAATGCATTGCATGTGGGGGAGTGGGGTGTGGTGTGCTTTCATACTTGCGCCTCGCATCGGTGAGGACAGTTGCACGTCGCGGTCTGGCAGGTAGTGGCACACACAAGGAAGCAGACAGATTTGGTGGGTGCATATAACTAATTTATGTGGGCCCCCTGTCCGTGCTGTCAACGTAACGTACCAATGGCAGCTTCGATGAGGTTGGCGATGGTGTGTCGGTCCATGGTGAGAATCTCAGACTGCCAGCCACGACGGGTCAACGGGAACGCCTTGACACGCACCAGAAGGAGACACATGGATGGATGGATGGATGTGTGTGTAAGCTGTCTGTTTGTCTGTCTGTCTGTCTGTCTGTCTGACCACTTGTTTATCGTCCATGATGTGTTTGATGGTGTCGAAGCTCATCATGTCCACCAGCCGCACAAACTCGTCGATCTTGACGATCTTGCCGCACTCTGCACCGCACCCAAACACACGACACACACAGGGACACGTCTGTCTGTGCCTGTGTTGTTCCCTGCTGCTGACTGACTGACTGACTGACCGGCCTTTGCCTCTTCCCAGAGGTTGAAGACGACGTTTGGGTCACGCCGCTGCACCTCACCCAACACACGCGATAACTCCTCACTGATTGCACACATCACACAGAGAGAGAGAGACATACAGATCCATTGGCTTGGCTTGACAACAAGGAAGGAGTATGTGTGGTGTGGATGGATGTGCTGTGCACCCCGCCCGCACCGGTCTCGGTAAGGGAAGCTCTTGGCCTCGCACTCGTCAGGAATCGTATTGACCTGTTCATGCCCATCAAAGCGTTTGCCTCATCTTGCGAAAGTCACGGGTGTGGTGTTTGTGTGCATTTGTACGAGCAGTCGCCAGTCGATGGGCATGTCGACGAGCATGTCGGCCAAACGCGAGAGCAACGTCGCCAGCTCCGATGCACTCACGTCACCTGCACACACACACACAGAGAGAGCGAAGGATGAGACGAGGCAACGGAGGCATGGTTTGTTGACATGCCTCGATCGTACCCAGATGCATTTCGTCCTCTGGCTGCTGCCCTGTCCCGGAGCTGCTGGCTGCTGCAGCAGCGGCCGCCGCCGGGGCTGAGCTATCAGCCGCCTGAAAGCACACTCACGCATAGCATAGGCACTCCCCCATGCCATGCGAGCGATTTCGTGGCCGCCACCCCACCCACCTCCTTGTGCTGGTCTTTCTTTCTGTCTTTTTTCTTTTTCTCCTTTTGCTGCTGCTGCTGCTGGTGCTGTGCCTCTTGCTCCTTCAGCCGCTCCTGGGAAGTCTGCCAGGGCTTCAGACCCCTGTCCTCATTCTCCTGTGGGCATAAAGGAAATGAATGCATGACACGACGCGCATCGCATCGCATCCATGGCATGGCATGGGAACCATCCATATACCCGGCTGGCTGGCTGTTTGCATTCAGTTGTGTAGGTGTGTACGGTGTGTATCGGTCGGGTCGGGTCGGCTGACCTTACCTTGTCGCGTTTAGCGTCCGCTATGTTGTTGATGGATATTTGCGGCAGGGGGATCTTCTCCTTGGCCAAGTAATCGCGGATGCACTGACACCGAAGCCGACTCGTCTCGACCAACTTCCTGCATTGCACACAATGAATGCAACACACGCACACACACACACACACACACACCTGCGCTCATGGGATGGGTCGAGTCGGTGCGTGTGTTGGTTTCAGCCGTGCTTACCATCCGATGATCTCTTCAAATTCCCTCCTCTGCTCTCCAACAATGTTCTCGGCGGGATTCCGACGACCCGCCTTCTCATACTGAATATATCACAGCAAATGACCATACAACAAAACGCACACACACGGCATGAGTGGACGTCACAGCAACGCCCAGGTGTGGTTGTCAGTCAGGCAGATCTGTGTGCGGCAGCCAGCCGTCCATACTATTCTTCCCATCCTGCCGTGATCTTTTTTGTTTCTCACCGCTTTCTGGACGAGGGCAGACAGGTCGTCGGTGTCAGTGTTGTCGGCGCCGTCTGGATTGTACAGCCCTGACGCATCGTAGTAGGTCCCGTTGGAGCGCAGCTGAGCCATGGCGCACAACCAGGAGCTGGTAGATGGATGGGACCACGGACCTCACGGAGTCATCCGCGAGGGACTCCGTTTTTTTACGGAAGAAGATCGCCGGTTCCAGCGGATAAGGCTAGAGAAAGTGTCGGTGAAACCCTGCCTGCCTGCGAGGGATTGGCATCGCTTCCTCTCGCCATCGTCGGTGTGTGCGTCCATCGCCCATTCTCACATGAGCTCGTCGTCGGCCGCGCAGCAGCAGGTAGTGTCGGCCAAGGACTACCCGGAACAGACAGAAAGATGACGATGGCATCGTCGAGCTCTTCCGGGCAAATGACTCATCCACAGGTGAGAGCAGAACGGCACACGACCGAACAGCACAGACGCGCACGGCTGATGTGTCCCGCAGGCGGCTGTCGGTGCATCGCCGTGTCGGTATGGTGTGGGCAGCCGCGTGCTGATGGTGTCGGAGCGGAGAAGGGACGAAAAGTTCCAGTGGATGGAGGCCGAGGTGTACAAAATGGAGCCGGCCGAGGGCGGGACGCGGGTGTGCATCCGGGAGGTGGGTGGGATGAATGAGGAGTTTGAGCCGGTCGTGGTGCCCCACACCACAGCAGCATTCCAACAACTCGCTGACCTACACGCGGTAGGCACACACACACAGGACAGGCAGGGAGAGAGAGGGGGTAGAATGGGAGCCGTGTGGCATCAAGGCGTGCACACATCCTTGTATGTGTGTGACTGTGCGTGTCATCAGGGAGGCCATGGGTTCCATTGCTTCGACCATACTCCCCCGCAGCATCTCATCCCTCTGCAAACCGTGGATGAGGTAGGCCTATTATACAGAGAAGCGGAAGTGACATCTGGCGGGTAATGTGCCGTTTCCCTGGGTGTGCAGGTTGATGCGGAGCGTTTCTGTGTGGACCCGAGCATCAAGCCGCACGATGCCAAGGACCCGCTGTCCTTTCTGTCCCTGCCGCCCTCCTTCATGCCCCCCCTCCCCACCGACATCATCACCACCACACTCCTCCCCCTGTGTGGCGGGCGAGAGAACCTCGCACTCAAGCTCAAGAGCACCCTCTGCTGCACATCCACTGAGGTCGGCAACGCTATCGGCTCCGCTGCGGTGTCGGCCATCGACAGCATCATTGAGAAGAACGGCCTCACGGGAGCCATCGGCTGTCGCCCTCTCCGTCGGCACCTGCAGCGGCAGCCGGGTCGGGCGATGGACGTGTGTCGTCCATTCCGGCTGATCCGGCTGCACTACCTGATGGTGACGGGGGGCCACTGGCGGGGCAACGTGCCGCTGCTGCGGCTGGCCAAGAGCTGCGGGAAGATCCAGCAGCTGCCCATCGAGCTGACCAATGACGACCTGCAGCACGTGGGCAGCAAAGCCGTCATCGACAGCCGCCCAGAGGCCATCCGCCAGTACAGCCTCTACGCCCATCGACTGGGCCACAACATGCGGCTGACGCGCAGGGCCGACGGGCTGGAAGAGATGGACGGGTATGAGGTGACGGTGCACACACGACGGACGGTGCCGGATGAATATCGAAATCGCTTCGATGCCACCAATCCCCCGTGCCGACGTGAGAGAGGGGAGGGCAAAGCACCACAGAAGAGCCAACTTGACATGGATGGTGTCTGCCGTCTGTTTGTGTGTCTGCAGACGGTGTTTCGACTACGGCAGCTTCAGAGGACTGGTCATCAAGAGGTATGCAGCGACACAAATGAGAGAAGACAACACACCAATGTGTTATGTTGTCTGCCTTTTCCGCTCCATGCTCTTTCAGGATGGCATTGCTGTCGTCGCGTCAGGTGTCGTATCAGTCCTGGCGTCCGTCCCCTGCCAAGTGTCGTCGCATCTCCGACCTGGTGGCCCAGCCACCGCCCCTGTGGGACGGCTGCCGCACCATCGACTACACCATCTTCGGCGACCCACGCCGACTCGTCATCTTGCATGGCGAGGAAGAGGGTGACGAGTTCGCGGCATGCATCGAGATGATCAAGTACCCTAGTGGGTCGGCAGACATCTCCCTCTACACCACCGAGGCGCCCCGGCAGGGCGTCAGGCCCACAACAAGATGGACAGCCCCTCCCTGGAGCTGCTGCCAGACATCTGACATTACGCGTCAGGTGCGCACACGACACACATGAGGAAGGAATCGACGCAATCTTGGCGCGTGTCAGGTCACGCACCACACCATCTCTGTGTGTCGGGGGGCGTCGCGAGCTGAGTGATAGGTGACGTGGGTGCAGTCGCTGTCTGTCGACTGACTGGGAGGGTAGTGGGGGTGGCGAGTTGAGTTGGCGATGGGTTGACTGATGGATGAGTGCAGACTTTGTGTGCACTGGATGGATGGATTGATAGCTGACGCGTGTGTGCTGTTTTTCAATTCTCGCTTGACCCTTACATACCCTTGGCCATGATCACACAGTCACACAAAGTCTTGCGGTTATCTCATCCCGCTGTCCATCCGCTGGCAGCCGACCAATGACATTCACCACCACAAGCAGCTCATCCCGTCCTCACTCCTGGAGAGCTGGGCGGTCAATCAGACTGACAAGGTCTCTGCAGAATACTTTCAGGCAGCGATGCCCACCCTCCTCTGTCGCCTGCACCACAACACACAGTGAACCACATGCCAACGCATCGAAATGGTTTGTATTGCGCATTCCCCCCCTCTGCGGCCATGCACTGTGTCTCAGACTCCCTCCATTCCCGCTTACCGGTGCGTGGGTGTGGTCACCGACTCCCATTGCCCAGACAGCGGTGTGGGGGAGGGGGTCACATCCATCCATCCATCCATCCCGTTTGTCTGTGTGTGTTTGCCACACACAAGGTGTGCGGTCTCACTACGCCATGTGCGTGTGTGTCTGCGGTGGCAGCTTAGCTGGCCGTGACCCCGTCCATCCACAGGATTG